ATATCACAAACACATATTTTTCATTAGAAAATGTACATTGGATTTCGAGAGTGCGTGTGTAAGTTGAGTTTAGCTTAGAGTATAGTTAACCCCGGTGTGTTTATGTATTTCTATCCCAAGGTCGAATGCGGTATAAAAGTTGGATTGAATGATTGTGAGGGGTTAGTTGGTAGCGGTTAGGGCGAGGGCTACTCTGTTATGTGAAGAACTAAGTAAAAATAAAAGTATTGAAGATAACCACGAATCGTTTCCGGAGTTGAACCAAACCCGGACGTAACAAGGACGTCACCATCACAGGACGTCACCACAACAGGACGTCACCATCACAGGACGTCACCACCACAGGACGTCACCATAACAGGACGTCACCATCACAGGACTTTGCCATCACAGGACGTCACCACCACAGGACGTCCCCACCACAGGACGTCACCATCACAGGACGTCACCATCACAGGACGTCACCATCACAGGATGTCACCACCACAGGACGTCACCACCACAGGACGTCAACATCACAGGTGTGGTATTTAGCAGAGTTTCATTCTTATCGCTCTGGTAATAGTTACATTTTATGATCTAGTAACTTCGTTTTTTCCTTGTTGGCTGCTTATAACAGCAGTGTAATCTTGGATAATTCTGTTTAGGTCCTCCCGCTGACTTTTTGTCATGGTGTCTCCTATTTGATATCACTTAGCTTAGTTGCTTTCATAATGTCCGGTGCTTTTATTGTGTCTAATGGGATACCCGGTTCGAAGTCCTCCTCGTCTGTTAGTGATTCTTGGTTTTCTTCATCTGCCTCCACCACTCCTGACACTGCCGCTAACATCGGGTGAACCTTGTTGTCTGGTTTTTGTCTGTTGTGGTACAGCACATCCGATTTACATGAACCACCTTAGTACTGTCCCCTGTTTTAATAACGTAATCCAAGTCTCCGATTTCCTTTAAGAATTCACGAGCCGACCCGCTGCGTATCATACGCCGCTATTTAGTTGTTTTTTTTTTCTACTTTTCAGTAATTTATAATTTGTGAATTCGACAGTACCAATGCTGCCATTGAAAATATTTGCTTAAAAACACTACCCCCCCCCTCGTGAAAGCAGCCTCCTCTTAGTTACCTCCTCTAAGTTTAAAATCGTTTCAAACTAAATTATCTGCCCCTAATAGCCGTCACCAAACCCGTCTCTGTGATTGTAAAATGTAAACAGAGTGAACACCGCTCACCAGATCATGTGGGGGTGGGGTGGGGGGTGGTAGTGATAGTGATAGAGAAGAAAAAGAAGGGACTGTAAGGAGGCGCTTGCAGCTTGTTTTCTAACTGATCCCAGAAGAGAATTATATATACGAGCCGACCCGCTGCGTATCATACGCCGCTATTTACTTGTTTTTTTTCTTCTACTTTTCAGTAATTTATAATTTGTGAATTCGACAGTACCAATGCTGCCATTGAAAATATTTGCTTAAAAACACTAACCCCCCCCCCCCCCCCCCCCCCACGTGAAAGCAGCCTCCTCTTAGTTACCTCCTCTAAGTTTAAAATCGTTTCAAACTCAATTATCTGCCCCTAATAGCCGTCACCAAACCCGTCTCTATGATTGTAAAATGTAAACAGAGTGAACACCGCTCACCAGATCATGTGGGGGTGGGGTGGGGGTGGTAGTGATAGTGATAGAGAGGAAGAGAGGGGACTGCAAAGGCGCGCTTGCAGCTTGTTTTCTAACTGATCCCAGAAGAGAATTATATATATATATAGATAGATAAGATCCCGCCCATCTCAGTTCTAGCTTGTTCAAATTTGAAAACTTTGGTTGGAAGCCCTATTGAGAGAGGACCTGTCGCGTTTCGTTATTGAGCGGAAATATTTGAAAAGTCCAGCTTGGCATCAGTGGCGTAGCTACCATAAAGCTAGCAACAGCAAGGCACATGGGCCCAAGGTACACATGGGCCCTGTTCCCTTAAAAAAACTAAAACTTTTACTTTGGAATTTTGTTTTATGTTAATAATGTTAAAAAGAAAAAAGGAAATCCAGTTTTTTTCTACTGTAGAAATAGTTCCAAATATGCTCACAGTCCCCTCTTTATTGTACATACCTTGTTATTCAGTGTGTGTTGGAGAGAGGGGGGGGGGGGCGAACAGGTCCCATATGGCGTACTAATCCTATAAGTTTTTGGTTTTCATTAAATCGCCAAGAAAATTTGGGATTTCATTGAGAATACTCCAGGCAGTGTTTGATGTGGTTAAGTAGTCTTTGTTTGGTATGGCTAAGTTGTGTTTGGTGTGGCTAAGTTGTGTTTGGTGTGGCTAAGGTGTGTTTGGTGTGGCTAAGTTGTGTTTGGTGTGGCTAAAATGTGTTTGGTGTGGCTAAGTTGTGTTTGGTGTGGCTAAAATGTGTTTGGTGTGGTTAAGTAGTCTTTGTTTGGTGTGGCTAAGTTGTGTTTGGTGTGGCTAAGTTGTGTTTGGTGTGGCTAAAATGTGTTTGGTGTGGTTAAGTAGTCTTTGTTTGGTGTGGCTAAATAGTCTTTGTTTGGTGTGGCTAAGTTATATTTGGTGTGGCTAAGTTGTGATTGGTGTGGCTAAGTTGTAATTGGTGTGGCTAAGTTGTGATTGGTGTGGCTAAGTTGTGATTGGTGTGTTTGATGTGGCTAAGTTGTGTTTGGTGTGGCTAAGTTGTGTTAGGTGTAGCTAAGGTGTGTTTGGTGTGGCTAAGTTGTGATTGGTGTGGCTAAGTTGTGATTGGTGTGGCTAAGTTGTGATTGGTGTGGCTAAGTTGTGTTAGGTGTAGCTAAGGTGTGTTTGGTGTGGCTAAGTTGTGATTGGTGTGGCTAAGTTGTGATTGGTGTGGCTAAGTTGTGATTGGTGTGGCTAAGTTGTGATTGGTGTGTTTGATGTGGCTAAGTTGTAATTGGTGTGGCTAAGTTGTGATTGGTGTGGCTAAGTTGCGATTGGTGTGGCTAAGTTGTGATTGATGTGGCTAAGTTGCGATTGGTGTGGCTAAGTTGTGATTGGTGTGTTTGATGTGGCTAAGTTGTAATTGGTGTGGCTAAGTTGTGATTGGTGTGGCTAAGTTGCGATTGGTGTGGCTAAGTTGTGATTGGTGTGGCTAAGTTGCGATTGGTGTGGCTAAGTTGTGATTGGTGTGTTTGATGTGGCTAAGTTGTAATTGGTGTGGCTAAGTTGTGATTGGTGTGGCTAAGTTGTGATTGGTGTGTTTGATGTGGCTAAGTTTTAATTGGTGTGGCTAAGTTGTGATTGGTGTGGCTAAGTTGTGATTGGTGTGGCTAAGTTGTGATTGGTGTGTTTGATGTGGCTAAGTTGTGTTTGGTGTGGCTAAGTTGTGTTTGGTGTGGCTAAGTTGTAATTGGTGTGGCTAAGTTGTGATTGGTGTGGCTAAGTTGTGATTGGTGTGTTTGATGTGGTTAAGTTGTGTTTGGTGTGGCTAAGTTGAGTTAGGTGTGGCTAAGGTGTGATTGGTGTGGCTAAGTTGTGATTGGTGTGGCTAAGTTGTGATTGGTGTGGCTAAGTTGCGATTGGTGTGGCTAAGTTGTGATTGGTGTGGCTAAGTTGTGATTGGTGTGGCTAAGTTGCGATTGGTGTGGCTAAGTTGTGATTGGTGTGTTTGATGTGGCTAAGTTTTAATTGGTGTGGCTAAGTTGTGATTGGTGTGGCTAAGATGTGATTGGTGTGGCTAAGTTGTGATTGGTGTGTTTGATGTGGCTAAGTTGTGTTTGGTGTGGCTAAGTTGTGTTTGGTGTGGCTAAGTTGTAATTGGTGTGGCTAAGTTGTGATTGGTGTGGCTAAGTTGTGATTGGTGTGTTTGATGTGGCTAAGTTGTGTTTGGTGTGGCTAAGTTGAGTTTGGTGTGGCTAAGTTGTGATTGGTGTGGCTAAGTTGTAATTGGTGTGGCTAAGTTGAGTTAGGTGTGGCTAAGGTGTGATTGGTGTGGCTAAGGTGTGATTGGTGTGGCTAAGTTGTGATTGGTGTGGCTAAGGTGTGATTGGTGTGGCTAAGGTGTGATTGGTGTGGCTAAGGTGTGATTGGTGTGGCTAAGGTGTGATTAGTGTGGCTAAGGTGTGATTGGTGTGGCTAAGTTGTGATTGGTGTGGCTAAGGTGTGATTGGTGTGGCTAAGGTGTGATTGGTGTGGCTAAGGTGTGATTGGTGTGGCTAAGTTGTAATTGGTGTGGCTAAGGTGTGATTGGTGTGGCTAAGGTGTGATTGGTGTGGCTAAGGTGTGATTGGTGTGGCTAAGGTGTGATTGGTGTGGCTAAGGTGTGATTGGTGTGGCTAAGGTGTGATTGGTGTGGCTAAGGTGTGATTGGTGTGGCTAAGGTGTGATTGGTGTGACTAAGGCTTGTTTGGTGTGGCTAAGGTGTGATTGGTGTGGCTAAGGTGTGATTGGTGTGGCTAAGGTGTGATTGGTGTGACTAAGGCTTGTTTGGAGTGGCTAAGGTGTGTTTGGAGTGGTTACCTTGTGGTTTCTTGTCGTGTGTCACCAGGAAGAGACACTGATCATGATGTACAAGACACACTGTAATTTTGAGGAGGTGAGTCCGGTATCCAGAGTGCCTGTGTCCTCTTCGTGCAGTTTTTTTTCTTCGTTCTTAATTTTAGTGATACGTGTCAACTGGTTATGCGCCATTGAGGCCATTGACTCCGATTTCAACCTGCTTTTCTTTTTGGATTTGCTTCCATAGCCTTTTTTTTTAACCAAGAACAAACTACAAGGCAGCAGTTGTTTGATTTTGGAGTTGTCTCTCTTAGAAGAGTGGCTGTTCCCGGCTAATGAGCCTCATCTGCCCAGGGTTCTAACTCGAGATTTTTTGGTTGGCGCATAACAAGTTGACACATATACTTAAGTGTGTTGGAGGGGATCCCTTCCGGGAATCTCTTCCAACACTAAATATTAAGAAGGCAGAAGATGAATGCTCTTTTAAAAATTGGATTTTTTAATATGAACTTTTTACTATTCAAAAAGAAAAACAAATAATGAGTTACCAAGATTGTTAATGAGGTATGACACGTTTATAAGCAAGCTGGGCCATTTACTTTGCAAATTCCAAATTCTGTCAATGCAGACACATGGAAGGAAAATTCATTGTCACTGGCATCATCTGAAAAAACATTCCAGGGAGGGAAGGAAGGAAAGAAGGTGGGGGGAGGGGGGTGGAACAATTTAATAAATTAAAAATGAAAAGAATAAACAAAATAAAATGAAGGCTTGATTGTATCAGTGACCATTCAATTAATTTTAAATTTCTTGTTTTAAAATATTCAAAAACAAAAATTCCAAATAGGGTTATTATTTGGACTAGTTTAAATGTAACTTCAGTCTTAAATACAGTGCTTACTTTTTCCACTGAAAACTATACAACTTTAATACACATTACTTGAATGTATAATTTTTCAGAAAACTGATTGAGGAGATGTGAGTTTTTCACTTAGCACAGTAAATGAAGAACATTAACCTGAACTACTCATGTAGAATAGCAATTATTGTGGTAAACTCATAAATTGTAATTTACTGCAGTAACAAGATTTTCACAATCAGAATGATGGGTAAGTTTTCTTATAAACATACCCAACCTTGCTATAGTAAATGTAATTACTAGTAGTTAGGTTATATGGACTTAACAGACCTAATTTTTTTGCATTATATGTTTATCAGTATGAAAGAAACCTGTGCTTGTGGGAACAAAACAAAATCAAATTTATCATATCATTAGCATAAAAGCCCTAAGTCCTATAAAAGATCTAAGTCCAACAAATGAAATTTGAAAACATAAAAAATAATAATTTTCCAACCTGAATCAGTGAACCCAGGTGTGTCCAACACAAGCTCCTTAAATGTATCAAGGATCCTGTTGAGCAGTACAAGTTTGTCTCTTGGGTTTTCTATCACACTTATAATAAGTCCAACATTGTCATGACTTGAGTCAAGTTGTAATTGTGTTTCACACAAACCTAGTCAAGAAACACCAGAAATTACTATTGTACTTAAAATTTCTTGAACTATTGAACTAATCATGGAAAAAAAAAACTCAGTGTTTTAAAAAGAAATGTAACTGGTACTTACAAGACAAAGGGAAGTAATAATGCTAGCCAGTTCAACATATCTGCCATTAATTGCTTTGCTGGCCAACATTTTAATGGCAATACATTCCCCACATGCAAGCAGTAAGCCAGCAATATTTTCAACTGACCAATCTTCAGGTGTACCTGAGGTTAAATAGTAATGAATAAATTCATTTCCTTGTATTAAGAAATATAATATGAATTGTGTTTTAGCGAATTTCTTATGTAACACAAATTAAAATCTGTACTCCATTCAGAACAAATGCAGCTTGAAAAAATAACCACTAAAATAACAATGTTTACAGAAAAAAAATTGCTTTATGTAAACTTTGGGTGTTAAACATGTTAACAGCTAAAGACATTAAAGAAGATGTGAACTTACTTGTCATTTCATCAATGATGCATATAATTTCATCACTAGACCATTCTGTACTATGCAGGTGAAGGATCTGTAAAATACTTGAAATGCTACTGAAGAATACAGTTGAATGCTAACTATTGACTGGGGTTAGTTCACTCATTTCATGCCACTGTATTTCACAACCTTAGTAAAAATATTTCAGTTAGAATTCATTATTTTAAAACTTAGCAGAATTGCAATTGCAAATAAGATTTTTTAAGGACACACTTGAGAACAAATAGAAAAATAATCTATGGAATAACCAACTATTCAGTTTAAGTTAATAAAAATTTGCTTATTACCTGTGAAATGTCCAGAGTAAAGTATGTACAACAATCTTGCTTAGAACAACAATTTATGGTCATGGCTTTAAGGCTTTATCCGACACTGTTGTACAAGGGTCCAGGAAAATGCACATGAAAAACTGTCAAACTCTACTCTCTAGCTGACAATGTGAACCTAATCAAGAACATAGTTTTTTTATCATTTTTTTACAACAGTGCCAAAATACAATAGAAAAAAAACGAACAAAGTGGGCATAAAAAATGTGTGTCAGGGGAGGTAATTCAACTCACAATTCAAGACTAACTACAGTAACTAGCCAATACTATACCAAAATTGTGAAAATATGAAACCTGAATTTATTCATATTATTTAGGTCTAAACAAAATGACCCTAAAAAACAAAACAAAAACCAAAAAACTGGATCTTGCACTTGGGGGGGGGGGGGGGGGGGATTACAGGTAATGGTCAGCTAAGTTCGCCTAATTCCGAATAATAGGCCTAATTTAAATGATTTTTATACAAAAAAATCAAATTTTACCATAATTACCATAAGTTTTAGTACTTACTACACCCTGCTTTAGATAATATTGAACAGTAGTCGGTATCGGCCGAGATCGCGGTAAAAACATGACCCGAAATCGCCCATTACTTTCTGATACCGGGCGCACGAGATTTGGTTTTGCATACTAATAAGTTTTTAATTTATGGTAATTAATTAAGTTTAAAAGGTCATTTCCTAATGTTAAATGAAAAGTAGAATGGTTTTCCCATTGTTTTGATGGCTTAAAGATCTGATCGCACGCTGTCCCTGCTTTGGTCTTCCCCCTGTATGAAGGCTAGTTTCAAATACGTTGGAATCACGATTTTTTAAAAGATTATTCTAGGTGAGAGTAGATTACTGATCAGACATATCTAAAGTATGTGGAAATGAAATTTGTTTTTGGATATTTTGACTCCGACATTAGTTATACTGCTCCGAACGTAGTCACTGTATGTAGGTCACGCTGCCACCATTGTTATATTTTTTCATCCCGATCTTCCGGCCTTTAAGTTTGATCAACTAATAACAGCATTCTTATGGCATGTGCAAACAAATTTTTTTATTTCAAAATATATTTACATACCCATCTTTAATTTTTTCAGCTCTAGTTCTAGTTTTGCAGAATATGTTTTTCCTAAAATCCAATTTTGTCAGACTAGACTGACAAGAGTCAGACCTAGATCTAGGTTACCTGTCTGTTGCTATCTAGCATTGTGCTAACTGTAATTTTAAGTATTCAAGTTCTACTTACCCTTAGATATAGTTATATGCTGAAAATCAGAATCCATACACAATTCACACATAAAAACATTGATCTGATAACTTCAAATTTTATTACAAAATGGCTTTTATATGGACTCTACTTCACCTGCCCAAAATAATGAGGCAATTATATGCACATAACAGTGTTCAAGTCATTTACTTTAGATTTCTAACTTTTTAGTTCTTTCATTTGCTGTATTTATATAAAATATGGCTTTAGAAACATTTTCATATTTGCGCAGCAGTTTAATAACAAAATGGCTTAAAGATGGACTCTACTTCACCTGCCCAAAATAATGAGGCAATTATATGCACATAACAGTGTTCAAGTCATTTACTTTAGATTTCTAACTTTGTAGTTCTTTCATTTGCTGTATTTATATAAAATATGGCTTTAGAAACATTTTCATATTTGCGCAGCACACAGTTTTTTGGGGTTATGGGAGGAAGCCAACACAAAAATATAAGTTCTGTATTATTTTTATTCATTTCAATAGCATTTACAAGTTCTATATATCATTCTAGTTAAACTCTGCAAATATGAACAAAATACAACTGCAAGTAAAATAACTATGCTCAATTTATTCAGGTATACCATCACTTGTCACAATTGGCCAATGCAAAAGCAAGGGGATTCCACCCCTCACAAAAAAATTCGCTAAAAAAAAACTATTTGAGCTAGACAGAAAATCTTTTTTGTTTTGTTTTCATATAGACTTCTAGTTGAGCTCTACATTACAAGAATATGTAATTTTTATTTTTATATTATATTATGATTAGTGTTTTTTTACCAAAATCCCTAGTAGTAGATATATTAAATCTACTATTCATGCCATTTTTTTAAAATTTCCATTAAAAAAAATATCCTATGAATTGTCACAATAGTGTTAGCCACTGTTAGGCGTGAGGCAGGCAAAAAATGGCAAAATTTTTCCAAAATGTCAAAATGAGAAACAGAAAATTCTGAGAAAATGAAAACAATAACTTGAACAACAACAAGATGACGCCTAGTTAGTGTAAACAATGGGAGTAAATCAAACCTACCAATGTTACAGGATCTGCTTCTGCCATGATATGATAGGAGAGTAACAAATATTCATAAGGTTCTAAAATCAATAGCTAGATCTAATCGTAGATCTTGTAGTTTACATTGGTTACTGTTTGTGCATCCATCTTGGAAATGTAAATAGTGCGCATGTCAGAAGTTCCGGGAAAATGTGAGTTAAAGTATTTAACTATAGTTGTCTACAGAATTATGGCTCTTTTATCGACCCCCCATTTAGCAATAAACACAAAGCCTATCAGGCTTTATAACATTTAATATAAGAAATATATAGGAATCAAGTTGGGTAAGGTACGTAGGGGGTGGATGTGGTCAAATCTATTCGGTGGGTGGATGGGGGGGGGGGGGGGAAGGGGACAGAAATGTCATTTTTTTTTGTCTTTTGTAGATTTAATCTCTAGATGTCAAAAGAAATCCAGTAACTGGTAAACTACATCGAATCATCGACCACACACTTTTTGTGAAGTAAACGGTAACTTAGTAAGTATAGATCTAGATCTATTTCTAATACTACTAGTTTCAAAGCTGTTAACTGATTTCTTTTCCAAACTATTATGCAAAATAAGCGTCTGTCGACTCTTCGTCAATTAACAATAACAATTAAATAGATCAGCGAGTGTTGACAGGTGAAATACTGTACTCGCTCAAATATTATAGTAGATCTAGATAAGGATCGGCGTGGTCGAGTCGGTAAAGACCATGGCTGCTTAACAACTCCAAAATCTGCCTTGTAGTTTGTTCTTTGTTGGACAAAGGCTATGGAAGCAAATCCAAAAAGAAAAGCTGGCTGAAATCGGAGTTAATGGCGCATAAGTAGTTGACACGTAACTTAATTGGAGGCGTGGTCGAGTCAGATATTGCAAAATGCGATCACTACTGAGGTAGATTATGAATACAACGGAGACAGAAGCCATGAGTATGTAAACAGCTTTAATTGTTAACCGGCCAGGACGGAAGTACAATGCACCAGGGACATCACTCAAGATAACAATATTATAAATATAACTAATACAGAAGAGTGAGTTCCCTTGACCTCACAATTATTTCAATCTATTACATCCCTTTACCCTTAGAACACAATAACACATCTCTCAATAGAACAATTGATAGTATCCTAAAATCACCAATTATATTGTAACATGAACACTATGGTAGATTACATCCTTACAAACAATGCACAATATGCTACAACATAATCAAAATACAAACAATAATGTCAAAGTCCTTTTGACCTTTAGAATCATAGGTCTAACTTATTTGGGACTTTGATTGTCCTGTTTGACCTTCTCAGTGGCTTCTGATTTGGTGACTCAAGATTCTGACCATCTGGATTCTCTATCTCAGGAGGTCTAGTATTTAAATCATTAACTCCAGAATTTACATTTTCTGACTCCAGACAACTTGGTTCACTCATATCAACAGAACTTGGTTGTAGAACAAACTGAGTTGGTGTGAACTGATCAGATTTGGTGGGATTGACAGATTCACACTTATTATCTGCACAAGTTATTTTCAACTGGTCTGCATGTCTACGGACAATAAGTCCATCATTTGTTTTTACTTTATAAGACACAGGTCCTGTACATTGAACAATTTGACCTGGTATCCATTTTTCCTTTCTCCCATAATTTCTCAGATACACATTATCATTAACTGCAAATTCTCTTTCAATGGATGATTTGTCATGATTTACTTTTTGTGTATGTTGATGTTGGGAAACAGACCTTTGAACAGTTGGATGTAGTAGGTCAAGATGAGTTTTAATTTTCCTACCACATAGCAATTCACATGGTGCAACACCTGTTGTTATATGAGGAGTTGTGCGGTATTTGGTTAAGAACCTGTTTACTCTTTCTCTAAGAGAAAACTTGTTACCGGTATTCATTTTTACCATAGCGGTTTTGAATATGCCTACCGCTCTTTCAGCCAAACCATTCCCAGCAGGATGATAGGGGGATGTGGTTATATGCTCAATACCATTTGCCACACAAAACAGTTTAAACTCATGAGCTGTGAAACTAGGCCCATTATCTGAAACAATTTGATCTGGTAATCCATGAGTTGAAAATATTTCCTTAAGTTCTATAATGGTATCATTTGCAGTGATTGTGTTCATGATTTTAACTTCTAACCATTTAGAATGTGAATCAATAACAATTAAGAACATTTTGTTCATGAAAGGTCCTGCGAAATCTATATGTATACGTTTCCATGGTTCAACTGGCCAGTCCCAGTTTTGCAAAGGTGCTGTAGCTGGTTGATTTGAATGTTGTGCACAGCTTGAACAAAGTTTTACATATTTTTCAATATCAGCATCCATATGTGGCCACCAGAACCATGATCTTGCTAGACTCTTCATTTTGGAAGAACCAAGATGAGTATCATGTAAAGTTCTTAAAACTTCTTTTTGTAACATTTTGGGGATAATTACTCTTGACCCCCATAGTATACATCCATCTTCTAGACTTAACTCTGTTTTTCTTATTTTATATGGCTTTAAGTCCTCATTCACTGACTCTTCAGGCCAACCATTTTTACAGTATTCATATACTTTTATTAAGCACTCATCTTTTTGTGTTTCTCTTTTAATATCATTCACATTTATATTGGAGTTATCCATGATAGTGAAGAGAACAAATACATCTTCTGGTACATAGCTCAGGCTTTGGTTTTTTAAAGGTAATCTACTAAGACTATCTGCACTATTCTCAGATCCAGGTTTGTATTTCAATTCATAATTGTATGCAGTTAGTGTGATAGCCCATCTTTGAATCCTTGGAGAGGCATGCTCAGGTAGGGTTTTGTTTTCTCCAAATAAACCTAGCAATGGTTTATGATCTGTAAAGATGGTGAACTTCCTACCAAACAGAAACTTATGAAATTTCTTAACACCAAAAATGATGCCTAAGCCTTCCCTATCTAACTGAGAATAATTTTTCTCAGCCTGGTTCAAAGATCTACTGGCAAAAGCAATGGGTCTGTCACCCTTCTCATCCATGTGGGACAAGACTGCTCCTACACCATCTGGTGAAGCATCACATGTTAATATAAGTCTTTTCCCTGGGTCATAGTGAGTTAGTAAGGTGTCAGCAGACAAAGCCTCTTTTGCTGTATTAAAAGCAGCTTCTTGTTGTTTACCCCAGTGCCAAGTTGCATTTTTCTGTAGCAGCTTGTACAGTGGTGATAGTTTACCAGACAGATTTCCTATGAACTTTGCATAGTAATTTATCAAGCCCAAAAAAGCTCTTAGTTGTTGGGTATTTTCAGGTTTGGGTGCTTCTTTAATGGCTTTTGTTTTCTCAGGTTGAGGTCTGATGCCTTGTTTGCTCAATATATAACCAAGAAAACTAATTTCTGTCAACATGAATTGACATTTATCTTTGTTTATCTTTAAACCTTTTTCACCAACAATTTTTAATACTTTATCAAGTGTTTTAAGATGTTCAGTGTCATTCTTACCAGTTATGTACACATTGTCAAAGTAAACACAAACATTTGGAATGTCCTTAAAAATACTGTCCATGACAGCTTGGAAAATTCCAGGGCTAGATGATATGCCAAAACATAGTCTTTCATATTGGTAGAGTCCTTTATGTGTGTTTATTGTCGTATAGACTTTTGAATCTGGATGCAGTTCTAGTTGAGTGTAAGCATGACTAAAGTCTAATTCAGTGAATTTGTCTCCTCCTGCCAAATTCAAAGAAATTTCCTCAATGTTAGGAATAGGGTACCTATTTAGCTCTATTTGCTTATTCAGTGTAGTTTTATAATCTCCACAAATTCTTATAGAACCATCCTTCTTTAACACTGGCACAATGGGTGTCGCCCAATCGGAATAGTCTACCTTCTTTATAATGCCATTAGATTCCAATCTACTTAGCTCATTTTCAATTTTATTCCTCATTGCATAAGGTGGAACTCTAGCTTTGCAGTATCTTGGATTTGTATCTTTAATGCTTAACTTCACTGTTCTATCATTTAGTAATCCAGAGTTACCAAAAACACATTTATTTTCAGATATAACTTTATCTAGTGAAGTAAGACTAGATTCTTTTACATTCTTCAATGAACAAATACTCTCCCAATTTAACTTAAGATCACTTAACCAGTTCCTACCTAGTAATGGCGGTCCATTTCCTTCAACCACAAGAAGAGGAAGTTTAACACTTTGACCATTATAACTTACATGAACCATACACTCTCCTATTACCGGAACATTGTCACCAGTGTATGTTGTTAAACACTTGTGACACGGCTGTAGAGGCACTGATCCTTCTGTGACAGCGTCAAACTCTTTCTTTGTTATGACTGTTAGAGATGCTCCAGTGTCCAGTTGGAAGCTGATGCTCTTACCGTTGATATAAACTGGTACATTGATGGGAGCATGACTTATTGATTTCACAGAGAACAGGTTGAAATCCGGCTGCGAATCAGTTTGAGCATTTTCACAGGTAGAGTGGTTCATTGGTTGGGTTAGGTAGTCTTGGTGAGAGTTAACATAGTGCTGCCTTTGGTTGCGGTACTGTCTTGACTGGCTAGATTTAGCAACAGACGAAGACTTTGCAAAGCAGGCCTTAGCAATGTGACCTTGCTTACCGCACTTATAACAAGTTGCAGACTTGAACTTGCACCGATGAGATGCATGGGGACCCTTGCATCGATGACATTTTTGATAATTATTACTAGATTTAGATCTAGGATTTGAACGAGCAGGGTGTTTAGCATAAGTTGGAATGCTCTGTTGGGGTTGATGTTTATTGACTAACCTGCTGTTTACTGCATGGATCTCTGAAGGTGCTAAAGATCTCGCCGCATCTGATGACTGCTGGAATGACATTGCAAGTTGTATTGCTTTTTCCAAAGTTAGATCTGACTCGAGCAGCAACTTTCTTTGAATATCAGGGCTGTTTACACCTGTCACAAACTTTTCACATAATCTGTCAGACAGCGTGTCTCCGAATTCACAAAATTCACTTAAATGACGTAAGGCAGCAACATATTCTGATATTGACTCGTTTGGTTGACGAGTCCTACTGTCAAATCTAGCTCTACATAAAAACTTTGATGGGGTAGGCGCATGGTGGTCTGTTAGCAATTTGCTCAGCTCATTAAAGCTCTTGGTATTTAGACTAGCTGGTGCGCATAAGTCCTTTAGTAGCCTGAATTGTTGAGGCCCTATGACTGTTAACAAAACAGCTCTCTTTTTGGCTTCTATCGTCACGTTGTTAGCTTCTAGGTAAAAGCTTAACCTCTCTAGGTAATCTTGAATGATTTCATCATTCGCATCAAATTCTTTTATTTGGCCATACAGCGCCATAATTCTAGAAATAATTAGCTAATAAGCTCTAGCAAACCTCTTTTTTGCGTAAGTAGGTGCTCTTTCTAGTAGATGTTTATCCTTCGTCGCCAGTTGAGGTAGATTATGAATACAACGGAGACAGAAGCCATGAGTATGTAAACAGCTTTAATTGTTAACCGGCCAGGACGGAAGTACAATGCACCAGGGACATCACTCAAGATAACAATATTATAAATATAACTAATACAGAAGAGTGAGTTCCCTTGACCTCACAATTATTTCAATCTATTACAACTACTGTCTTTTATAGCTCTTTCTATGTAAACTAGGTGAGACAACCAACAAAGAACCAAGTCAAACGCCGCCGGCATCATCGCCCACATGCAACATGATGGAACGCCAAGAGACAAAGCTAGTTGCTATCCTTATAAGGTGAACAATGGGGATGACGGGAGTATAAAAAAGGATAAATAAACCGGTGGCTTTACCACCATATTTTGCAAAAAGAATGAAAGAAACCATTTATACATTACAATTATCTAAATGGGATTAAAAGTACCCAAAACACAGTTGAGGGGTGGCACAGGAGGTGGCAGGTAATCGTCCGAAAATATCGCTCTGGAGTCTTTTGTTTGCTCAAATAACTAAAAGAAGAACAAGGAATAGTGGACGTCGAGATGGAGGCAATATTGCTTGGTGAATCATAAAAAACAAACAACAAAAAAAAAAAAAAAAACCCAATATTTACAGAAAGAGGGCAGGATAGCATACAGAAGTAGACTTGAATTTCTACGTGGCTTAGCATACAATTTATCATAATGGGTCCTATTTTTTAAGTGTTGTCCTATAACTTTATCATTAATCATTATGTAACCTGTATTTGATAAAAATTAAACATGTCTGTAATTGTAGTTTGTCGGCCTTTTGTCTTGTGTGTGTGTGTGTGGGGGGGGGGGGGGTGGGGAGAGGCGGGCGCTGGAGCAGTGTACTAAAGAGTGTATTTTCTGCAAACTTAATTGCACAGAATATAATATATATCGCTTGTAGAACACAGTAGTATATATAGTAATATATTTATATAGTAATATATAGGCTTTTATTATACACCATAAAACTTTAAACAAAGTTTAGCAAGCACTTTTTAAAGCTTTAGAAATACTACCCGCCAACGATGTTGGTTATTAACTGAAACTTTTAAAACAATACACTTTAAATAAATTTAAAATCTTAAAAAATTCATGTCCATCTAGATTTAACTGACTTATCCACCAGGACTATGCATGAATCTTTATCTCTAGTTCTTATTATAAATAAGATGGCTGTTTATTTGATCATGCTTTCGCTTTGCCTAATCTGCCATCTAATTGATTTCAGAAAATTAATGTTTCTTTTCACCATAGTTATTGTTTTTTTTTGGACATAAAGCGTCATATAGTAAGCAAACACTACATAATAATCTCAAAACGGTATTTTCATTGCAGTTACTAGAGTTACGTAAAGGAATATATGAAATTCAAACATAAGCCGTGACACCTAGTTTGGAGGCTATCTGGGTCATAGCCTCGTTTCCAAAAGTGACATTATTGTACTGCGGCTGCGTAAAAGTATCACTAGGCTAGAGACTGCACTTTTCATTTAATTATTTTAATCAATGTTTATGTCTAAATCTACGATTTTTATCATCCAAAATGAAGGTGTGATTATACCAACCATGACATTCTAACGTTAGAGGTATACTCGGATTGGCCTTGTTTTATAAATGGGCTTGTAGTAATAAATAATGAACAAAATACCATGCAGTAAATACGATTAAAAAAGGGAAGTTCAACGCTGAAAACTGGAGAGTAGAACTTAGTGTTAATCTAACTTTCACTCTGACCAAAATTATTAGATCTAGAAGATCTAGAGAATCTAGTATCTAGGGTCTAGATTAGACTCTAGATCTATATTTTAAAAGATTCTTTTGAGCCAGCACACCTTATCATCAAGTACGGCTTTGTGAAAACGATTTGATTATTGAATAGATCTAGATCTACTAGATCTAGCTACATCCTAACTTCAAGTAACTTGGCTAGAACTAGATCTAGATCTAGACTAGATCTAGAACCAATTCAATAGGCCTACTAATTTAATTTTACTAATTTTTAACTTCCTTTTCAATGCTAGAATTAAGAATACTAACTTATTTAACTTCTAAGATACTAGAATCTAGATTATATTTAGATTCTAGATTACCTGAGAGAGAATTCTCAGAATACTGACAGATCTAGAGAATCTAGATCTAGATCTGCCCTAAAGGCCTATAATTATAGTTTATACTTATAGTAATATAGTAGTTTAGTACTATAGACTGGGTCTAATTGTCTCTAAGTGATTAAGTCAGTCACTCTGTGAGTTAAGTCAGATTGAGTTAGATCTAAGTGATGCATTTCTTATTTTTAGTTAGAACTCAGTAGACTACCCAGTAATATTAAATAGGTAAATAACATAGGCCTACTCAGTATGATACTGTTTCAATTCCAAAAGTGTTTCAAGTAGATCTAGGACTTGGCCCTAAAAGTTAATTTACTTACTTTCACTTTGTCATAACCCTGTGAATCCCTTGAGGAGTAATGGGCAGCAGACTTTGTTTTTTTGGGCAACTCTCTTTAGTTTAGACTTAAGACCATGTAAATTCTGCAACCCTTACTACTCTTTTCACAATTTTTTGCAGTCTATTTTAGGCAGGCCCACTTTTCTGTATTTAATTAGGCCTACACCCTATAGGCTTATATAGTAGGCCCACATATAAATGCTGTTTATGAGATAATTAATTAGCCTAAATTAAATTAATGCATTTCATGGAAAAGCAATGACAAGATTAGAAAACACAAAACAAAAGGTAAAGACCAAACTCATTGAGGGCTTAGGGCCTGAAGTAATTTGGTTAAAAAAAACTTCATGCTTGCGGAAAATTGTGAAAAAGTTTGAAATTTTTGGTCATGGTTTCTTATTTTCACGTATCACTATTATATTAATCATGGACATCAGAGAGTTGACAAAAATCCTTCGTTCATTACTGTTGACAGGATACAAATACTAATAGTGTTTTTGTCAAATTTAGTTTAGTTACCAAAAAATACTAAAAACATCAAACTCATCCAATCTTTAGTTTGTCAAAAACCAAACAGTCTGGTTTTTACAACCATATTTATTTTAATTACATAGTAGGCCTACATGATTTTAAAAATATTTAATAGGCCTTTTGACTATTTTCAAGTCTGTTCTTGTTGTTGTCCCTTATAAATCAGTTTCTTTTTAAAGCGTGCCAATATTGAAAACGTTTTAAGGGACCAAATGTTTTAGATTTTTTCGCTAAATCTAAAATGTACTCAATTTTCAATTTTAACATATCACTGAATGATAGACATCCATATTTAATCCATTAGACACTAATTTTGAGAGTTTTACCTCTTCTTAGACTAAATTACTTGATTTTAAATTTATTGTCACTCACAGCTATGGCATGACACACCTTTCCATTACAATCTTGCACCTATGTTATATCACCCTTATGTTTGAAGCTACCAAATAGAGGTCACATGGTCTAAAAAAAAAAAAAAACAATTTGGTTGTCATTCAGATGAAGTGTTTTTTTAAAAAGTGGCATGCAATATTTGATTTATTTTTTTCATAGACTGATAAACCTAATAGTTTTACAACCTCCAATTCATTTTTGTACTCCCTGGGCTGATATTTTAAAATTTCTATTATTTTTTTAAAGACATCAACTTTTAAATTCAGCCTTCATTCTCCAAAGCAAATTTTAAAAAGCTTTTCTGGCATTATTTAGCCCTGTCACCTATCACTTGATTCATAACGTGAAAAACCAGCCATTTTGCCATTGGTAAACATTTGTAAAGAAGGTCACTGGAACTAAGGCGAAAAATCGTCTTAAGTCATGCATCCGGTGTGGACGCCATATGGTTTTTAGCAACCAGCCACGCCTCCAGGGTAGCGTGCAATACTAAAATGTTTGCTTAGTACAAAAATATGATATAATAGATCAATGTTTAGTTTGAAATTTTTCTTATCAAACTGCAATTAAACCATTATTTAACTGCTGCTGTGTATATTATGTGGTATTTTTGGCAAAGCCCATCAAAAGCCATAACAAGCTGGCCAGGAATGTCATGTCATGTTTGCCTGTCGTCCCTACTGGGACATAGGCCGCTGACAAGAGCTTTCCAGACGTCTCTGTCCAGGGCTAGTCTCTCCAACTGTCCCCAGGTGTATCCAATCTTCTTGGTGTCTTCTTCCAGGTCACGTCTCCAGGTCTTTCTTGGTCTGCCTCTCTTCCTCCTGCCTTGTGGATTCCAGGTGAGGGCCTGTCTTGTTATGCTGGATACAGGCTTCCTGAGTGTGTGGCCAATCCATTTCCATTTTCTCTGGAGGATCTCTACTTCCACTGGCAGTTGATTTGTCCGTTGCCATAGAACATCATTTCTGATGGTTTTAGGCCAGCGAATTCGCAGGATCTTTCTGAGACATGCGTTTATAAATGATTGTATTTTCTTCTTATTTATAGCAGTTATTCTCCATGTCTCAGCTCCATAGAGTAAAACAGGTTTTACTAGTGTGTTGAAGATCCGGATTTTTATTCTAAGGGTTAAATCTCCCGAACCCCAAACATTTTTTAGTTGGTTGAAGACTGCTCTTGCCTTACCCATCCTTATTTTTATGTCTGCTTCTGTCCCACCCTGCTTATCAACAATACTTCCAAGGTAGGTGAATCTATCCACTTCTTCTAGGGCTTCTTCTGCCAGTGTTATAGGGTTGTTGTTTGATGCATTGACTTTGAGAACTTTACTTTTCCCTCTGTGGATGTTCAGACCCAGGCTTGTAGAAAAATTTGCAACCCTGTTGGTTTTATCCTGCATTTGCTGTTGTGTGTGAGAAAGGAGGGCCAGGTCGTCAGCAAAGTCCAGGTCATCCAGCTGGCTCCACAATGTCCACTGTATACCGTTTCGCGTTTTCTCTGTTGACATCTTCATAACCCAGTCTATGGCCAGTAGGAACAGGAATGGTGAAAGTAGGCAACCCTGCCTTACTCCGGTCCGTACTGGGAAGGCCTCTGTAGTCTGTTGGCCATGCACTACTCTACACTTGAGACCTTCATATGAAGACATAATAATGTTGACTATTTTCTGTGGCACCCCGTAGTGTCTCAACAATTTCCACATTGACTGCCTATCCAGGCTATCAAAGGCCTTCTCATAGTCTATGAAATTAATATAGAGAGATGAGTTCCACTCTTGGGTCTGTTCAATGATGATGCGCAGGGTAGCAATTTGGTCTATGCATGACCTTTCCTTCCTAAAGCCCGCCTGTTGATCTCGAAGCTGGGGATCTATGGCTTCCTTCATTCTGTTTAATAATATTCTGTTGAAGACTTTGCCTGGGATGGACAAAAGTGTTATCCCTCTATAGTTAGAGCATGCACTAAGATCGCCTTTCTTTGGAAGCTTTATGAGTAGTCCCTCCTTCCACTCCTCTGGTATTTGTTCATCTTCCCAGATTTTCTTGAAGAGTGTGTATAGTAGTGTGGTGCTAGTTTCTATATCTGCTGTCAGTGCTTCTGCCGGTATACCATCTATTCCTGGAGCCTTCCAATTTTTCAGCTGCTTTATAGCTCTATGTATCTCTTCTTTTGAAGGTGGGTTGCAGTCTATAGGGAGGTCACTTTCAGCTGGTGGTATGTCTTGCGTGCACTCTGGTGTTGGTCTATTCAGTAGTTCTTCAAAATGTTCCACCCATCTCTTCATCTGTCCTTCCGCATCAGGTATTGTCTTTCCATCTTTGGTTTTCACTGGCCTCTCTGGCTTACTGTACTTACCAGATATCTTCTTAATTGTATTGTACACGTCCCTAATATTACCATGGTACAGTGCTTCTTCCGCTTCTCTTGCCAGCAGTTCCAAATAGCTCCGTTTGTCTTTCCTTATGTGTTTCTTTACATTTTTGTTCGTTTCGGTGTATTCTTCCAGTGCTTTTAATTTCGTAGCCCGTGTGCGGCTGTTGTTTAATGTTACCTTCTTTCTTTTTCTCTCTTCAATAATTTTCATGGTATCTGCTGATATCCATTCCTTCGCTTGTCTTTTGATAGGGCCTAGCACTTCTTCGCATGTTGATGTTAATATACTTTTAGTTTTTTCCCATGTTTCCTCTATCGTCTCTTCTTCTATTAGTTCTTGTAGTACCTGGAACCTATTGGACATATGAAGTTTAAATTCGTTGAGTTTAGATGGGTCCTTTAGCAGGCCTGTGTTGTACCTGTATTTCCTTTTGTTTTCCAACATGTTTTTCTTCAGCTTGAGTTTTACTTTAGCTACCAGTAGGTGATGGTCTGAAGCAACATCAGCTCCTCTCTTGACGCGTACATCCTGAAGTGATCTCCTGAACTTTTTTATGATACATATATGGTCTATCTGGTTTTCTGTAGATAGGTCGGGTGATACCCAAGTAGCTTTATGTATCCTTTTATGATGAAAGAGACTACCACCAATGACTAAATTATTTGTGGCACACAAGTCAGCAAATCTTTCTCCGTTTTCGTTCATCTCACCTAAACCCTGCTGTCCCATACATTCTTCATATCCTCTGTTGTCGCTTCCAATCTTAGCATTGAAGTCGCCCATGAGTATAAGGATGTTTCTTCTTGGGCGGTTCTGGATAATGGTCATTAGCCTGTTGTAGAATTCGTCTTTGTCCTCCTCTTTGCTGTCATTTGTTGGGGCGTAGGCCTGTATTATGTCCATGTTTATTCGTCTTATTTTAGTTTTAAAGGTAGCTGTTATGATCCGCGGGCAGTGTGCCTCCCATCCAATGAGAGCCCTTTGTGCTTGATTTGATAGCATGAGTGCAACTCCTTGAGTATGTGGTGCATTTTCATCCTCATGACCTGAGTACAGCAGTAGCTCTCCTGATATCAGCCTTTTTTGTCCTGAGCCAGTCCACCTTGATTCGCTGACACCCAGGATAGCTATTTTATAAACCTAATAGTTTTACAACCTCCAATTCATTTTTGTACTCCCTGGGCTGATATTTTAAAATTTCTATTATTTTTTTAAAGACATCAACTTTTAAATTCAGCCTTCATTCTCCAAAGCAAATTTTAAAAAGCTTTTCTGGCATTATTTAGCCCTGTCACCTATCACTTGATTCATAACGTGAAAAACCAGCCATTTTGCCATTGGTAAACATTTGTAAAGAAGGTCACTGGAACTAAGGCGAAAAATCGTCTTAAGTCATGCATCCGGTGTGGACGCCATATGGTTTTTAGCAACCAGCCACGCCTCCAGGGTAGCGTGCAATACTAAAATGTTTGCTTAGTACAAAAATATGATATAATAGATCAATGTTTAGTTTGAAATTTTTCTTATCAAACTGCAATTAAACCATTATTTAACTGCTGCTGTGTATATTATGTGGTATTTTTGGCAAAGCCCATCAAAAGCCATAACAAGCTGGCCAGGAAAAAGAGAAAAAAATTTATGGAGTTGTTTTTATTTTGCATTAAAATAGTTTTTTTTTCTAATTTAGGTATTCTTTCCAATTAAATTGCTGTCTTGATACAGTTTTCTTTGGGAGGTATTCATTTAAACCGGCAAACTGACGGACCAAGGTGACAACGAGACGTCATCGTCTCCTGATAATTCAAGGATGGCGGTGTGTCGAGTGCCAACACCGCCTCCTCCAGATGTGTCTTGCCCCGTTGCTGACAATTGGTGTTACACACAAGTAAACATTTTTTTTTTAATTTAGGATTTTTTGTAAAAATAGTAAATACTTTTTTTTTGGGTAGCTTTTGTGGTTAAGTTCAGAAAATAATTCATTACTATTGTTCATAATATCCACAGCTAGTTTATTTTATGATTGATGATATAACTATTTTTTTCCCCCATCAACAGGTTAAAGTAATCAAATTTTCGTACATATGGACCATTAACAATTTTAGTTTTTGTAGAGAAGAAATGGGAGAAGTATTAAAGAGTTCGACATTTTCAGCAGGAGCAAATGACAAGCTTAAGTGGTAAGAGTTTTGTTATAAAATATGTTAGCCACTTGTTCTGTAATATGATGGTGAAAATTTTCCAGTTTTCTTTTAACTATACTATGACCATTGTTCAATCATAAAGAAAGATTGTACTAGACAACTAAAGTACTCTAAATGTCCATTGGGAATATGGAGTACAGTTCATCTGTTTCTTCTACTTCAGTGTTGAATGGATTGATTATTCACTAATGCCCTAATGCTTGTACTTTTTAATAGTCAGAATACATTAGATTTCAGTCTACTCAGATACGCAATACATACCCATACTGGAGTTTGAATTTTAGACTTATTAGTTTAATGACTTTTTTAACTGCTCCCTTATTTACTATTCTGTAGTCTTTAGGATGCTGTGATTAATGCTTAACCCAACAATATATTCCCATGCAGGTGTTTGCGAGTGAACCCCAAAGGACTAGATGAGGAGAGTAAGGATTACTTATCTCTTTACCTTCTTTTGGTCTCATGTAATAAAAGTGAAGTTCGAGCAAAGTTCAAATTTTCCATTTTAAATGCAAAAAGGGAAGAAACCAAAGCAATGGGTAAATATTCATACCTCCTTTATTAGTTTTGCTAAGTACATTTAAATGTATAATACCAACTTAAGAGATTAATTGTTAAAAGCAAATTGTCTAGTCTGGATACAATTAATCAAGTTTTAAACTTAGGACATATTTAAAAACTTTATTGTATCACTAAAACTTATTTAATTAATGTTATTAATGATTTAAATGTAAAAGTTCCTTTTTCAAACCTGACGGTCTATATGGCAAGTGAAGTTGAGTTCACTTGTTTCTGTGACCTTGGCATATGAAGAGATAGTGTGGTCAGTACTATGCCAAGCCGCCTTTACTTTCCCTAACGTGAGTTAGGTACCCATCAGAGTTGGGTGGACTCAGGGACGGTCTACTGACTTGAACCCGGTTTCGAACTCGAGACTTACGGGTTAGCAGTCCAACTCTCTACTGCTAGACCACTCCGTCCCATTTAAATGTAATATATTATGTAAATGTTTACGAGATAATCTGTTAAGTCAAAATGGCTGATCAAAGTTTTCATTCACAGAAAGTCAACGAGCATACAGATTTGTACAGGGAAAAGACTGGGGGTTTAAAAAGTTTATTCGACGAGACTTTCTTATGGACGAAGCAAATGGTTTATTACCTGATGACAAGCTAACAATATTTTGTGAGGTAAGTGGAAAAAAATCACATATAGTTGTAAGATACATTTTTTTATAAACATAGTTGTCCAGATTTTAAGAGATTTTACATTTCTTTAACTGTTTTTTTTTTTTCCAAAAATATATTTTAGGTTAGCGTAGTTGGTGACACAGTTAACGTATCTGGTCAGTCAAATTGCACTCCGGTTAAAGTGCCAGAGTGCAGGCTTAGTGAAGACTTGGGACAGCTGTTTGATCGTTCATCCTTCAGTGATGTCACGTTATGTGTGGGAGGTCGAGAATTTCTAGCACACAAAGCTATATTAGCTGGCAAGTATTTTACTCACCATTTATAAGCTATTTTTTGAACTATTAATTTAGTTATCCTTCAGCTAATTTTTTTTTAAATAACCACATCCTTTTTTCAATAAAGCAGCTAATTATACCATTTTCTAGAGTGCAGACTAGACTACACTGTTTTGTGATTTATTATGTGTGAGGTAAAAGGATGAGTTTAAAAGGAAAAGAAAAACTAAACCTCATTGTGGTGCCAAAGCCACCACTATTGTTTTTTTTAACTCAAATCTTTTGTATTAAATTGAGCCTAAATTTATTTAATTTAATCATTTTCTATTCCAGCAAGGTCTCCTGTATTCAATGCCATGTTTGAACATCAAATGTCAGAAAGTAAACAGGTGTGTACGCTTAGCAGATTAGAATTTATATTTTACAGAATGGTTTTACATGCTTATTCCACAATATTTTACATACCAGCGTATGATACAATTTTCATTGAATTTTCCTATTAAAGAAAGTATTTTTTTTTTTACTAATTTATGCTAAAATAAGTCAATATTCCCATTACCCTTATTCTTTGTTAAACTAAACTGTTACTTTGCAGTTATATAGTATTACAATCCTAATAATCTGCAAATGAATTATAATTATAAAATCTGTGATTTTTTAAAATTTTTTTTTTTTTTTTTTTTTTTTTACTTATTTTTTATATTTTGTATTTTTTTAATTGTTAAAAATGTTTTTTCAGAATCGAGTTGATATTCAAGATGTTGATCATGAAGTGATGAGAGAAATGTTAAGATTTACTTACACAGGGAAGGCCCCAAACCTCGACAAGATGGCAGATGATCTTCTAGCTGCAGCAGATAAGGTATTTCTCACCTTATTTCTCTAAAACTAAAACATTACACATATGTGCTAAGAACTGTGATGCAACATTTTTTTACTTTTACATATTGCTTTGTACTAAATGGCTAGTTATAATGATTCATTAATGAAGATGTTAAAAACCATAGTTGTAAACTTGGTATGATCATATTTCAGTACGCTTTAGAAAGACTTAAAGTCATGTGTGAGGAGGCGTTATGCTCAAATCTTACGATAGAAAATGTTTGTGACATTCTGGTGTTAGCAGATCTACACAGTGCGGAACAGTTGAAAACTCATGCCATTGATTTTATAAATAGGTGGGTGTAATTTTTATCACTAAATACATTAGTTTTTGGAGTTTCTTATTCCAGTGGTTAAATTCACGGTTACCTAAAGGCCACTATATCTACATTATCAACAAGTGCTTATTGAGTATTTTACAACTTGTATTTAGAATAGTGGGGTTGTATGATTGAATAATGGGGAACATTTTTACTCTGAATATCTCATGTTTAATTCAGTGTATAAAATTTTTATCTATGAATCTCATTCACCATCATAAGTTACCCATCCTAGAACTTCTTAAGCTAATTTGGCATAAAACAAGCCAATCCATTACATCAAATCTCAACACCAGTATATCACCTTATGCAATGTGTTATCACATCTCATCAATGTTTTTAATGCTTCTATTACTCTGTATACCTTGATAAATATGAATTTATTTAATTTACATTCCTTCAAAAGTACATACATTTATCAGTGGCTTATGTATAAAATGGCCTTGTCCAGTGTGCCCCTTTATAAAATTAAGCTTTATTATTATTACTTCTCTGCTCTTTGGATCATCATTTCTGAAGTACTGTTTAAAAAAAATTATTGAAGTAATGAGATATTTTTTGGCTTTTCATTTTTACTAATTATCATTTCTATTTGTATATTATCTTATAACATTCATTTTACTTAAACTTCATGTATGATTAAGTTTTTAATGTTCTTTTTTTAATATTGTAAACCAGGTGTTGAGCATTTTAATTGTTTTAAAGTTTATTATGGTCCATGTAGCTTGAACCTAAAAAAAGAGCAAGTTTCTCATGATACATCCATAGATTTTAAAAGCTTTTAAAATGCTCTTCTTGATATTTGTGATAGTTCATTTAATTAGTCAATTGAAAATGACCCCTCAATCATAGTCAAGCATTAATTTTTCTTCCATTATTTTAGCCATGCAACAGATGTGATGGAGACAACAGGGTGGAGATCTATGATTCAAGCACATCCACACCTCATTGCTGAAGCTTTCCGGGCCTTGGCCAGCCAACAAAGCCCACCTCTTGGTCCACCGAGGAAAAGGATCAAACAGGCTTAATAATAATTCATTCTTTTGTTGAATTATGTATTATTATCATGCTTGTATGATTTTTCTCAATGCATTTTTATTGAGCATCTGCATCAGATCAAATGTGAGACTATTTCACTCTTGTAATGTAATTCTAGAGCCAACAGAACTAGCCCTTTCTTTTTTATTTAAAAAAGCATGTAATGACAGTGTAAAAGCAGATAATGTCTCACTGCTAGACATTCCAGAGTTTCCAGACCCACTGTACAGCCACTATAATGTACCATTCTACCTCACTACTAGCCTCATCATAGACATGCTTTGGTTTGCCTTATGTATTAAAGACCAAGTGAAGTAACATCCTAACTTTTCTTTTAGATGAAGTTTCTTTAAATTAATAGTAGCAAGATGTTTAAAACTTCCGACACCGCCTTCAGAGAAAAATAAATTTCACCTGGTCTTTATGTTATTTTGAAATTTATTTGGCTGTGGGTGATTTTTAGACAAGTGATCTGGTGCAGATGGGTCGAGATATGGTTTTACTATGAGTTATTTCTGCTGCAATCTAGACTCATTCAAATGTCCTTCATCAGACGGTTCAATGAAATGTTAAAAGAGTTGTGTATATATGTTCAAAGTTAATTAATCACAAGCATGTGCTGCAGTAGAAGATGCATTAGCACATGGGTTGTGTCAAATATTCAAATGTATAAATTGTCCCATAAACCTGACAATATGCTGTTTACAAACTGCATTTTCATAAAATGAAAGGGCTGTGTGCATAGATATTGTAAATACATGTTTGCATGAATGGCTTCTGAATTCATCTGTAGGTGTGATTGATTTATGCATACAATAGCAACCTTTTAGTGCAGAGCTTTATATATATTAACGGCATTACTTTATTTTGATAAGGTATTATGCCGCAAAATATAATTAATACAATATATTTTTCAGTTGCAACAAAATTTGTTTTAATTACCATTACATTGATTCTTTTTTTTAGAATTACTCATAAAAATATTTAAAATGTTGAAATTATATAAAGTATTAAGTTGTTGAAACAAATATTAAAACATTTGATTTAAAGTGCAGTTTGACCAGTACTATGTACCTCAAAGCTTAAATACGATCTAAGCCAGTTGGTCACAATTCATCCCCCAAAAATTGCCCTGTGAAAGTACTTTGTAATTTGCCGATTTTTTTCATATGCTTTAACTGTCACATAATGTACTGTTGTCAAGTCTGCTAAACAGCCACGGTTTTCCAGTCTGTTTTCATGACTCTGTGTCAGTGATTTTTTTTCATGGTGTGATATTATGCAACTTATAATTGTTCTTAAAATATGAAACAGATATTCACCCTTCATCTCATCAGAATGGACAGATAGTTTTTCATTTGTATTTAAACATTTCAGAAAAGGCATGTTCTCTTGATTTCATTGTAAAATCTTTTGGCCACAGCTTGGGGAGCAGGGATTTTTCTGCCATTATTTATTACTTGTACATTGTCTTCAGATATGTGGTTTTTGCTACAATTTGTTTGCAGTTACAAAGATACAACTGCATTACACTTGGTCCATATTAAAATTGTTTTTAAAAACAAAATGAACACTCCATGTTTATATTTCTGACATGGAGGTTATGGCTGGAAGAGGACCTCCACATTACCCATCAATTCCACATTTAGAGAGTTTGATATGAAATGTTTATAAATTTTTTGATAAGTGCTGTATGTACAATTTGACCGATATTTTTTGCTTCATTTACATTGCAACTTCATTGATAATAAAAATCAACTTGTAAAAATAAAGGAGAGAATTAGAGCTATTTTGTTGACTTTAGAATAGTGTGATAATTTCACAAAACTTAAAATCACAAATATTAAGAATAGTTTCATTTTTTAATAATGCAGGTTTTCCCATCCTTTAAATTATTTTCAGTATGTCTGATGTTATGCCTGATTATTATATTTGGGGAGTCTGCATTAAGTTCAAGTGATGATTCTTTTTTGAAGGATTATGTTATGTCCATTTGAAATTTTTGCTCTATAATTAAAATTCATAAAATAATGTGTTAGTTGTTAATTTAATAACCTGTTTTTGTTTGGTTTTCTTTTATAGTTAAGCTCAGTTGAGAAATGCTTTGATCCTTAATCTATGTTTACAAATATTTCATTATGGTAAGTTTCCAGAAAGCTGTTGAAGTGTTAGTAATCAGTTCCTATATATTAATTATTCTTCAACAGCAAGCTTTATCTTGTTCATATTTATCATAATATTGTATATAGAACAATGGGAAAGTTGGCCACTTGCTCTAAATTTCTTAATAGTAATGGTTAGTTGAATATGGGACTCTGAGGAGTGTTCACTACATGCAGCTGTTAGTAGTACTAGTTAGTTTGTCAGTTTACTAGGTGATGTGATAGGTCTCACCAAGCCATTTCCAATTATAATTTTTCTTGTGAATCCATTTGATTACAATCATGAGTATGATGGTAAGAATAATGATTTAATTGATGCTTTATAGCATGTTTTCATTTAATTATTTCTGTACTGTGGATAAGCTAAAGTGGCCAGATTTCACCTGAGCAGGCTTGTTTATATTTATTTTTTTAAAAAATGTTACAGTTAAATTCTTACAGTTTAAGCCAAAAATGTTACATTAAAATAAAGATTTTGGAATTTAGGGATTCTTTTGTTACTTCCCATGCCTTTTGACATTTATACAAAATTTTCTTTAATTATATCAATCAAATATAAGTTTGGGTTAGTAAGCCAGAAGATGGAACTGATTGAGGGGTTCCACTTTGATTCGATTAAAGACGTGAAAAAAGTTTGTTTAATATTATCCTGATTAAGCATAACTACATAAAATACCATATCTTAAGTTATGATAGGTTTGTCCAAGTAACTAGCCTCTTTGAGACACAGGTTCAAGGACTTGATGTTTGGTCATGCATTTAATTTTTTTCTTTCAGCTGTGTTAGCTGGGGAAAGAAAGTTTAAATTTGATGTACAGATAATAAATGAATTTAGGCAAAAGAACATTTCTGTGTTTTATGTATTCTTTGTGCAAGCTTATGGAGTCAAGTCATGATAAATCCACTTGAGTTTTATCAATTTGTGTATTGTATTACATTTCATGTACAAGTTCATTGTGTTTTTTAAACAAAGTAAATATGACCTCTTGACATCTTTGGATATAAACAAAATGTTTACCAAATATCTTGAACAATTTTTTTTGTGTTGGTATTGTTTGGATGTTTAAGGTTTTGTGTGTTATAAAACATGTCTCAGTGTTTGTTATTTTTTGGTCATGCTTGTCTAATCACACATCTTAGGTCATACTTGTATAGTCACACATCTTAGGTCATAGTTGTCTAGTCACACATCTTAGGTCATACTTGTCTAGTCAACCATCCTAGGTCATACTTGTCTAGTCACACATCTTAGGTCATACTTGTCTAGTCACACATCTTAGGTCATACTTGTCTAGTCACACATCCTAGGTCATACTTGTCTAGTCACATCTTAGGTCATACTTGTCTAGTCATACATCTTAGGTCATACTTGTCTAGTCACACATCTTAGGTCATACTTGTCTAGTCACATCTTAGGTCATACTTGTCTAGTCACATCTTAGGTCATACTTGTCTAGTCACATCTTAGGTCATACTTGTCTAGTCACATCTTAGGTCATACTTGTCTAGTCACACATCTTAGGTCATACTTGTCTAGTCACACATCTTAGGTCATACTTGTCTAGTCACACATCTTAGGTCATACTTGTCTAGTCAACCATCCTAGGTCATACTTGTCTAGTCACACATCTTAGGTCATGCTTGTCTAGTCACACATCTTAGGTCATGCTTGTCTAGTCACACATCTTAGGTCATACTTGTCTAGTCACACATCTTAGGTCATACTTGTCTAGTCACACATCTTAGGTCATACTTGTCTAGTCACACATCTTAGGTCATACTTGTCTAGTCACACATCTTAGGTCATACTTGTCTAGTCACACATCTTAGGTCATACTTGTCTAGTCACACATCTTAGGTCATACTTGTCTAGTCACACATCCTAGGTCATACTTGTCTAGTCACACACCTTAGGTCATACTTGTCTAGTCAACCATCCTAGGTCATACTTGTCTAGTCACACATCCTAGGTCATACTTGTCTAGTCACACATCCTAGGTCATACTTGTCTAGTCACACATCTTAGGTCATACTTGTCTAGTCACACATCCTAGGTCATACTTGTCTAGTCACACATCTTAGGTCATACTTGTCTAGTCACACATCTTAGGTCATACTTGTCTAGTCACACATCTTAGGTCATACTTGTCTAGTCACACATCTTAGGTCATACTTGTCTAGTCACACATCCTACTGACACAGTGTTTCATACTTTTGAAAAACTAACTTTAATGTACAACATAGAGTAAATAACGTCACCTTTAAATAAACATACTCAACAAGAGTGAGTATAGTATATACACTTTTTATTTCAATTAAATTGTTATATGACATACACCTTGTGATATGAACATTCTTTAAAATACAGGAAGCACTTGTTTAAAACTACATAAAACAATCAGAAGATTGTATAGTTTTAGTTTTTGAATATTGGATAGCTTATGATACCATGGAGTATTAAAGGAAAAAAATGTAGAATAATACTATGTAAAATACCCTTTCAGACTTGATAGCTTACACTTTGAGGGCTGATGAGCTATCATGTTCTTTGCCCTTAGCATAGGAAAGGATGTGTCGTCAGCACCGGCGCAGCTAGTTTCCAAGGCTTAAAAATAGGTTCATATAAGACTCTTTAATTAAAGCCTGGAGGACTTAAAGACATTTTACAGCCAGTAACCAATTGAGACAAAGGTTAGTTCTGCCGCTTAACAATGGTTTCCAATTTTAATATAATAACTGAGTCAACTACTATATGGCGTGTAACAAGTTGAAATGTAATACTCAACAGAGTTGGAGGAAATCCAATATTGCAATTAAGAATGAAGAAGAAAATATAATTACACAAATATATTTTTGTAAACTTTTCACAATACATGCATCAACAAAATTTTTTTTTCTAAATCTAATTAATAAAATAAAGCTGTTGAACATTATTTGGAAATCAGCTTTCAGAAACATGAAAAGGGAAAACAGACTTCTAAACTTTCTGGTTTGGATTTCTAAACATTTTCTAATATTTTTTTAAAGTTTGGAAAGGTCAAATACAAATAACATGTGACAGCATCTTGTGTCTAATACAAATAACAAAAATTGGAGTCTAATTGCAATCTGCAAAATCTACATATTTCAATTCAAATGAGGCTTGTTTGTATATTGTAGTTAAGCAGATACATGAATGATTAACACCCTTTATTTCATACATCAATCACAAACCCTTTACTATAAAAGAACTAGCTCTTCTCTGTTTTGGGATAAATCTAGTAAAGCCAAGAAAAATACCTAAATAAGCAAATTTTATAATGAAAATAAGTTTTATTGAATTCAATTACTAAACAGTAAATAGATTTATATTATTGACTGCACTAAAGAAAAGAAGTCTTTATTCCTTTATTTTATAGCCACCATCCAAACAATCACTGCAACCGCATGGCTCTATCTCATAATCAGGAGATAATGGAATATTATGCCAGCTGTTAATACAAAGGTGTTTGAGTTGGCTTCCTTCCACCTTTTCAGTAAGTATCTCTGGTCTATCTGAAAGGTATTTAAGAATATCCAGGAGTTCTTTGCTGTTCTCCATTGCCTCTAGTTTCAACTTAAGTCCTTTATCATTCAGTAAATGATGCATATCATATGAAGAGAAGAATCTATTACATATAAAGTAAAGTGCAATGTCTTTATATTCTGACAATAATGCAACACACAGAGGTGAAATCTCTGAACTATAAAAATCAAATGGAAAATATGACTGCTCCACACATTGCCTGTCAATAGGTAGAACATTGTTGATTAACATTCTGCGCACAATTTTATTTTTATTTTGTGCAACCATAATATGCAAAAATACAGAATCATTTTTTATCTCCAAGTTGGAAGAGGATGTAAGAATCTGTTCAATAAGATCATAATCCTTTATGCTTTGTTCTAAAGCCAAAGTTAAAGCAGTCTTTTCATCATTACCCACAATGTTCAAGTCAACATTCTTGTTCAGCAATATCCTAGCCAGGGCATAAAACCCTCTTTTGATGGCATGCATGAGAGGAGAATACCCCATTTCAGATTCAACAGCATTAAGATCAACAGCATAATTCAAGTCGACTAGCCTTTTTACACCCTCACCATAATCATGTTTACAAGCATAATGTAAAGCTGTATTTCCTGTGTTATCCCTCTTGTTTAAATCTTGTAGAGTTTTGTTTATCAAGTACTGAAAACACTCAGAACTGTTGCCCCATTGGGCAGACAACATCAAAGCATTGGTGCCGTATGTATCAGTGCAGCTCATATTGGCACCAGCCTCACACAGAATTTGGAGGCAGTTAAAATAACCTTTGTCAGCAGCATACATGGCAGCTGTCATGCCTGTTACATCACGGTGATTCACATCAGCTTTGTACTCAATACAAATTCTTACACATTCAATTTTATTCATGTTAGTCGCTTGTATTAGGCCATTGTTAAGAGCAGTCCTGCTGATTAGGTTTGTCTTTAAATTGGCATTTAGCAATTCCCTTACTCTATTTTCTCTTCCAGATTTAATTGCTAAAAGGAATGCATCTTCATTGCTGGCCATTTTCCAGTGTTACACTGAGTGTAAATGATTTAAATAAATACTGATACTTGAGTAAAATGACTTCTTTGTTAAAGTATTTAGCTGCGAGTTCTGGAATGAAACAAAATTTTCAAAATTAAACATTCTGCATACATTTACCTGTTCCCCTTATTATGCTTTATGGAATGTATTGTCAAAATATTTTATAAATTGATGAAACATTGTAGAGCCTATCACTTTATAAACTTTGGCATGAATGTCATAAGTTCTAATTTTAATTGAACTAAAATTTCCTGTTCTTCAACTACAAAGTTGGCTTTAACAAAAGTTTCAAATAGCAGAAAAAAAACAAATGTCAATTAATATCAACATGAATTTTTTAAATACACCAATATTTTTAAATGAACTGTTATAGCTGTTAAACAGAGAAATGACATGAGCTATTTGATGTTTTTAATACTTTGAACTTTCCCTGGCAACATATGATATTGTAATATTAGCTATTACTATTAGCCCTATTAGTAGGCCTACTATAATAGTTAATTATTATTAAAGATGTGATAAATCTATTCAATATAATTATAATATAGACCTATACATTATAAATATAGTCAGAACAGGCCCTAATTGCTATAGTAATTAATAATAGTAATAATAGTTTATTCGTTTGACTGGCATAGAGTGGATCAGTGTTTCTTCCAGACTTTTTTTTCCAGACTTTGGCCAACAAATAAACAATTGAATAGATTAGGAATTTCAGTCAGCACTAAGTAATATGTAACAACTAACTCTAACTCAGTGGCGTAGCGAGGTTGGGTGTCACCCGGTGCGGCACTTAATGGTGTCACCCCCAGAGGCGTAGCGACCAACTTTCAATTTGCACCCCCCCCTCAAACTTTTGATTTGCACCCCCCTCCCCCCCCACTCAACCTTTCAATTTGCACCTCTTAAAAGACAATTTAACACTCGAATTAATCACTTAATTAAGTGGAATTATCATTTTTCTCTATATATTTTGCTTATTTTTTGCTTTGGTGTCACCCCCCTAAATGTTGTCAACTTGTGCGTTCCACACCCCCCACCCCTCGCTACGCCTTTGCTCTAACTATTATTACTAACACTGTTGAGTGTAGTGAGCGTAGTGTAACTGATCTAGACTATTATTATTAGGTCTGATCTCTACACTCTCTCTCTACAGCTAGATCTAGAACCAAGTAGTTTAGTTAAGCATAATCAGTGGTTATATTATAATTTAGATCTAGACCTATCTAACCTTTGCACAATGTACAATTATAAATTTTTAAACTGTTGTGATGAGACACGAGAAACTGAAATTGCAAGCCAAGTGACAGGGGGAAATGATGGTTGATCATGATCACTACACTAATGCTGTTCAAAATAGTTAATCTAATAGGTAATAGAATAGTTAATAAATAATAGATTTCTAGATCTCATTATTTTACTATGACTAGATTATATAGATCTAGATGTTGGATAACAAATTAAATATATTTTTATTAAGTTAATAATTTATTAATATTTTTAGGCTAGCACACTCATTTTTAATTTCTCTAACCTCAGTAGCTTGGTTAAAAAATGGACATTGCCCAGATATCTAGATCTTGATTTACTTGGATTCTGAAAGTTTGATCTGGAAAGTCACACATAACCTATTTTCTGAAATCGGAAAATCCCACAAAATCTCAAAGGTTTATTAATAGATTTAGGCTAAAATGCCATCACGTACGACGGCTAGTTCAAAGAATGATTAGAAATAGATTAGTCTCTAGATCTAGATAAGTTTTAGTTAGTATGTTATAAACTTAGAGAAACATCTGTCTATTTTTGTAAATTTGGCTATGGTGTAAGTTTGATTGTTTTTACCATACTTATAGTCTTATACTATAAGTATTTAAGTACTATATTAAATTAATCTATTAAGTTACAGTGTACACGTATACTACTACTACACTACTACTAGATCTAGATCTAGACTCTTTTTACTATACTATAACATACATTAAAACATATTTTGAGTAATAACTTTAAGTTAAGTAACTCATAATAGAACACAGTCTATCTATATTCTATCTATAAATACTATATGACTATATAATTATAATAGATCTAGTTACTAATCAACTCTAGTTTAACTGTAAATTATCTAGGCCTATGTATATATATATATTATATATATATATATATATATATATATATATATATATATATATATATATATATATATATATATATATATATATATATATATATATATAATGTATATATATATATATAATGTATATATATATATAATGTATATATATATATAATGTATACATATAATGTATATACATATAATGTATATATATATATAATGTATATATATATATAATGTATATATATATATATATATATATATATATATATATATATATATATATATATATATATATATATATATATAAATATATATATATATATATATATATATATATATATATATATATATATATATAAATATATATATATATATATATATATATATATATATATATATATGTATATTATATTATATACACACTAGATATAAGTTAAGAGTTATTAATTCAGATCTAATTTCTATAGTTTTATGAATGTGTTACTATGTTACTGTTACCAAGTTTTAGTCTTACATTTCTTTGCTTTACTATTACAATATTATTGACCAGATCTACTTTCTGCTGAGACAACACATCAAACAAAAAATAATGCAAGACAAGGAAAGACTGTTTAAAGCCATCAGAGATGGTAAATCAGAGCTTGTTAATTGGCTATTAGACACTGGCCTTAGCCCTGACAGTAGACTGGATGATGAGCAAAAAACACCAGCTGTGATTTATTCATTGAAATGTTCAAAACTAAAATGCCTTCAAATTTTGCTTGAACACAAGGCTACAGTGGATGCCCCAGATGAAATGAGAATGACAGCTGCCATGTATGCTGCTGATACTGGTAAATTGGAATACCTCAAGCTTCTTCAGAAGTTTGGTGCCAATGTAGATAAATCTGATTCAGAGGGAGTTACAGCTTTAATGCTGTCATCTCAGTCTGGTAAAATAGAATGCGTCCAGTTCTTGCTGGGCGAAAAAGTGGATATAAATAAAAAAGACAGAATGGGTAAATCTGCTATTTTTTATGCTGCTGGACAAGGTGAAGTACAATGTCTCCAGCATTTGATTGACAAGAAGGCGGAGATTAATTTCTGTGATCACAATCAATATTCTGCACTTATGCATGCACTAAAACTTGGGGAGCTTGAGGCAGCACAGTTACTGATTGATAACAATGCGGATGTAAACTTTGTTGGTTTGGATGGAAAAACAGCCTTTACTTTAGCTTATTACAACAGCTTGGGTGATTACAGCATCATTGAAGATCTACTTCTGCACGGTGCAGATTTAAACTTGTCACCAGAAGATCAATCTTTTTTACACATCATGGTGGCAAAAAACCATCGAACAATTGTAAGGCGTATGGTGATAAATGGCTGCCCTCCTACTGATAGACGATGCTCTGATAACTGCTTCAGGTTCAATCACCACAAAGTACCCATTTCTCCATTGTGTGTTGCTCTACTAAGTGGCAATGATGATATAGCTCGTTATTTCATAATCAACAGATATTTTACATCATATGACTTGTTTCACTTAGCTAAGGACATAGAATTTTACCAAAAAATAAATACGTCAGAAGATAATGAAATATCCCTGTTAGTTGAATACCTTGAAGGATTTTCCTATCCACTTCAGGATATTTGTTTAGTGGCTGTACGTACATTGCTCAATGCAACACCATCAAGCATGTCACAAAAAGCTTCAGTGCTCTCGAGGTGGAAACTTCCTGAAAGCATCCAGCGCCAGTTGCTGTTTACAGAGCCATCCTCAAGTCTGTGCGTTCAGTGTTGGCAAGCCATTTCACTAGAACGAGACCAGAGCATAGAAATTTGCAACTGCAGTGACTGTGAAATAGAACGATCAATACAAGGCAGCACCAGTGGTTTTAAAATAAAACATTGATTCTTTTCTTTAAAGCCTGAATGACATGATAGCAGCCATCAATTTGCAGTTTGCCTCCTAGAACCAAAACCTCTAAATTATGAACAGGAAAAAATGTAAGAACACTGCACATTAAATAATAAAAAAAGATTTAAGTATACATGAAATCAACTTTTATTACAAATTTCAATTGTGAAAGAGGATGCCAGTGCACCCGTTTTGTTTTTGTCGGTTTTATATTTTATCACAGTAAATTGTTCAATTTTTTTTACATTTCATACTTCCTTCCTTGAATTCACGCAAGCAATATTGGAACATAGTCATTCCATTGTGTATAACCTAGTCAACATATTACAACTACACACAACATGCCTCTTAGTGTTGGCCAGTATTTACAAAAATGTAACCTTTTTTTGTTTTAGAATTAAATTAAAAAAAATAATAATAAAGCACAGATGATTGCTTAACCTAAAAATGCATTTAGCTGTTTTTATTCAATAATTTAAAAAAATAACAATTGAAGGTTAATCTTAAAATACTAAAGGACAAAAAAAAAAAAAGCTCTCTATGCAGATTCAGTTATTTCTATACCTGGCAACAAAAAGACCCCAAATGTCACCCAACCAGTAAAATAATCTTTATTATAAAGATTAAATCAATGTGATACAATCATTCTATAGCACCACAACAGTGAAAGACAAAACTACATACATGACACTTAATATACAGGTAGGAAACTCCAAATTTCACAGGAGCCATAATGTTTGGGAAAGTTTTATATCTATGCAATAAACAGCCTATAAATATATTCCACTACACTTTATAATTAGTTATACAAAATTTTTGTATATATACATGTATTTGCAATGCCATACCTCATGAGCATAAAAAACAATGTTATCTATAAAATTTTGAACCCTTTTTGTTTAGCTCATGACAGTGTGCAAAAAAATCTAAACTAGCCAAGGTTAATAAAACTATACTTAAACAATATACTACTTTAAAGGGAAATATTTAGGACATTTTAACAATAAATACATTTCTTTTAGAAAGAAATTATGGGTAACAGGTAAAGGTTTCACAGTACAATAAAAAACAAACAAAACGTACATATTTCCCATATTTTAACATAAGCTAAACCACTGTTGTTATGCAATAGCTTTGTACATATTAAAACTTTACACTAATTAAAATACAGATCTTAAGGTAAAAGGGTAAGCACTTAGTCCGACTAAAAGCAAATACTGCAAACACTAGAATTAGTATTGCCAATATGCAAGATTAACTGGAAGATTTAGCCACTCAAAAACCCATTGAAACCTGTGGCCCTTTTCCAAATTACAAGTGCCTGTGACTACAGCTCTTAACGCTGGATTTGTATTCCTTTACTGCTAATTTGACTTTGTTTTTCAAATTTAAAATATGGAATGTTTTAAGGTGTTTGCATACTAAATCTTGTGCTTATTTGTCATTCATACTTAAACCCGTTAGGTAGTAATAATCCCTTAACTAAATTTCTAATATATATATCAAATAACCTTTTTAAGCTGTACACCAAACTTACATTTTATGCACAACATAAAGCTTCTAATAAAACAGAAGCACAATTATACACTGGAAATTTATGACAATGTTGTCATTTTGTGTAACCTTGGAATTTCCCCAACTGGAAGCATTGACATGATCATAAAACTTGCTGGTTTCCGTATGAAACTTTACCTCCTCACTCTTATAAAGCAAATTCTAGTACTTAATCCAACATTTTCTTTTTAAAAAATGGACACAGACACTTCTAATTGTTATAAAAAGTTTGGACCACTGGAGTTTTAAGTATCTCATAATTATTGCTGCTGATTAGGTGGGTTAGCTGATCATGCAGATCGTGGCAGCAGCAGTGCTTGTGCCAGACAGCCATAGAGAATTATAGCAAATGTGCTATGACACCACTCTTGAAATGATGTACTAATGTATACATAGCCAAAAATTTCAGCGCCAAGGGGACGCCTGAGATCTCTGTCATGTGACATCCATAGGGATTCCTGTGTCTTTGTTAAATAATATGTCCTCATGATTTGACCTGAGAATAAAAGACCATACAATTAATAAAGAGCATATATTTTGTAACTTAAGACATTCTTAATCATTGTGACCACTTTAAGGAAGAGATATTAAAAAAAGGCATTTCAAACATCAACTAGAAACATTAGCAGAGTTTATTAACTTTAACAAAATATATTTTAAAAAACAAAATGCAGCCTACATAACCATACACATTGGGTATATATGAATACATGTAACTAGTTGAGTAACTAGTATATAGTCCACATTTATTTTATTTAGGCCGACTTAAAAAAAAATTGTAGTCACTGACTTCTCCACATCAATAGACTTAATTTTGTAGAGATATGTAGCATAAGGATGATTTTTGCTTTTATAACAGAGCTTTTTTCTAGCACTAATGAAAATTAAAAAATGGCTTGCAGTAATCAAATTACCTGAGAATCTCAAAATTGGAAGTAGGGGTTGAGGATACTTTATACAATGTCCCAGCAGAACTTGTTGAGTTTGTCACTTTGAGAGGTCGTTGAAGCTGGAGGGCTGTGCTTCCTGTTGATGTTGTGATGGCTGTGGCAATGGCAGTAGATGAACTTGATGGTGCAACTGCAATGATTGTTGGATTGGACACTGATAATGTAGATGGATTTGTAAGTAATGAAGCTGAACTAGCTGGAAAGTTGAGCTGGAGTACATTTGCTGCTGGTGATGTTGAAAGCCCACTGGTTTTCACTAGACAATAGAAAGATATATATTTATATAATTTTAAAGAAAAAAAAAAAACAATTGCAAAAATAAGTGTCTGTAAATAATGAAAGTTAAATAAAGACATCTGACAAAAGTACTATTAAATCTTTAGCTTAGCAAATATAGAAAGTTATAAAATTACATTTTTGTTTCAAACTAATATTTTAGAACAAAAAAAAAAATAAAAAAAAAAAAAAGTAACATACCATGTGAAGATGACAATGGGCCATTGGTTTTGTGTGGCAGCAGAATAGTAGTGGTTGACAATAGGGACACGGGGGATGGTAACGTCGACGATGCAATAGTCTGTGATGAATGTGTAATCTGTGGTGCTGAGGTTGATTTATGAAGCAGTGAAATTGATGATGAAGACAACTGATTAGAGCTAGTGATAATTTTTGCATTATTGCAGCCTGAGACTTTTCCTGAGGATAGTGTTGTTTTTCCATTCGTGCCACTACTGGTTGCTGTATCCCCAGCTTTACTAGCCAATGGATAGCTAAACTGATGAGAATTCGTCCTACTACCCACTGGAGAAGCAGCTGCAGTGCTAATGCTGCCAGGGGTAGAACCCTCCAAAACCGAAAGAGTAACCTGATTAGGTGAATCAACTAAAGCTCTAACAGCAAATTCAGCACCAGCAGAGTCTAATGTAAACCGTGAGCCCAATTCACGTTGATTTAATGTGGGCTCAAGATCAAGTGTTATAGAACAATCGTGATCATCCTCTGTAAAAAGTTTTTGCTGTTGTTCTCGTTGCATTTCAAGCAATTGTTCTCGGTGTGATTGGAAACTTTCAACATCAAACTCTGACACAGGTCGGCCAAAAAAACCATCCCTTCCACCATGTCCATTGTTTGAGCCAGAAGAAGGAGAATTATGATCATCATCAGGAGGTGGAGTTTTTGGACGATAAAGTGGACTGAAGACAAAATTTTAAAATCTCTTAAAAATGAGCACAACATTTAACAACTTAATTTATATTAAAATTACAAAGTAAGAACTTACATTTTATTATCCCGCACATATGTAATATATTCAGAGTAAATACTGGAGTGGTGAGAATTTGAACCAAAATCAATACGCTCTAACGTCTCATCCCATGCTGTACCTGCTCTGTCAAATATTACTCTAGTGAAGAAAACAAAATCAGGAATTATTAAGGTGAAATGTAAATACTAAGCCAATTTCTATTTGTTAAATAAAAATAATATTTTATTACTTTACCTGCCTCCCCTTCCTATTCTTCGACGAGCATAGGCCATACAACCAATAGGTAATGAAGTGAGAGAAAAGCGAAAGCGTTTGTCTCCCCTCCCTCCCTCTTCTGGGCCATGCCATGGCCAGTTTCCCAGTCCAGACTGGATTGGCTGCGAAATTAAAAGGCATGTATAGAGTAAACACTAGTGTACAGGGTAGGGATAGAAACTTAAATTATAAAACAAAACAGCATAACTGATAAGTTTGAAAGGTTTAGAGGCTATGCTATGTAACCTAGCCAAATAAGTATTCTTTTTTTTTTTTGAGGTATATAAAAACCTAATGACTGATAGGGTTGAATCCATACCTGATGATAATGACAGTTCTTCCTTCTCTTGAAAGCAAACATTCCATCGGGATCATTTTCATCCTCATGATCTGACTGTGACAATGCCTGAATAGTAGAAAGTCGATTTCAGATAAGAAACTTGTCCCCACCCCCCAAATGTATGTCTCAAACACACAAAAATTTGTTTAAAATATAACATACAGGAGAGAGCATATCCTCATCAGAGCTATCCATAATATCAATGTCACCACTGGAATGTTGCTGGTTCTGAAAGTGATGCACTGCAGTATGTTGGATGATTTGATTCTGTTGCTGCTGCTGAGCCTGCTTTCTTTTACGATACTGTCTCTTTTTACGCACAGGCGCGACTTCCTCCTGTTTAAATGAAAATAATTTTTTAAAATTTAATAACTAGAAATTGAAACCAAGAAAATTAAACATTAAGAACAAAGAAAATGTACACAGTATAAGGGAAACCTTTAAAAATGATATTAGATAACTAAATTACTTAAAAATGAACTATACTTACAGTATACCCTTCTATAAAATAACTATATTGTGTCATTAAGTAACCGCTAAGCAATACAGCAGGTTTTTGCGATGAACTAATGAAAATGTACGACTTAATGCATGATGTATAGGTCCTCTTTGAAAATTCAATACTTAAACCGAGAAAGCAGTTGTAAAATACATCACAATTTAATATTTTAAAAGAAAAAGAACAGAGTGGGGCAGATCAATATATAAATTATCTGGAAGAATAAAAAGCAATTAAAGCAAGTCTTGTTACACCCCACTCGTTTTACCAACTGAGGGCGTAACTTACCCCCTTGTAAGTCTGCACCCACTCCCCACGACTGTTGAGGGCAAAGGGAGCGACAAATGTTGGGTGTTTTTCTCTCTCTTCCTCCGCCTCTGCGAGTGCGGTTCCGGAAAAATCTTCCATTTCGTTTCTGCAGGGTGAGTGAGGAAAGTAGCGTAACAATGCGAATTTGCGTTGCTACTTACCTACTATTTAAACCTGATAGCTAATTCTCTTAAAATTCTTAAAAGGACTTCAGGTACTAATTCTAAAATATAACAGTATGTTTATTGTTTAAAACTACAATAAAACTCAAATCACTGATCAATGGCTAAAACTATTAATGAATGCAGCATAACTAATAGCTGCAAAACTCTTTATGAAGCCAAGCCTGGGCAAACAAGAACAATTTTAAAGTAAAGTCTAGTACATACCTTTTTTCTAAAATTTCTATTGTCAGCTGCAACAATTCTTTCTTACTTTTTTCCCTTCTTTTCAACAATTCAAGCAGAGTACTAAAATGTAAAGTAGAAATATTGATGTGAAAAAAAAAAAAACAGGAGCTAAAATAATTATAGTAGCCTATCTTAACTAAACTATATTAAATTAGAGACACATTGGTAAAGTTATTTACTTACAGAGTTTTTTGTAGATCCCTGCGTAATTTGAGCATCTTTTCATAGGAAACTTCATCATTTTTGCGATTCTGAAAATTATTATTTTTTTATAAATAAACTACTGATTTTTAAAAAAAATATTCTATTTTACTTTCACTTAAACATAATTTATATGCATTGTAACTCTAAAATTGAAAAAAAAAAAAACAATAACAAAAAAAAAAACTCCTAACTACCTTTCGTGTCTGCATTTTCTCTGTTCGTCTTCGGAATGCAACATATGGATTGTTGGTTGTCGTTCCATCTCTTTTTTCTGATTTAACTGTTGCAATTAAGGGACGTTGCTGAAATATAAAAAAATTTAGTTGAAATAATGCAAGTGCTAATCTCATAATGGCTATTTTAATTACTTTAAAATTTTAATAAAAATAAACATACCATCTTGAGTCTTTTATTAAGCCAATAATCGTATACAGCAATAATTAAATCATCGTCTTCTTTTAATAGAAGTTTTGCTTCTTGCAGAGTCACAACCTAAAAAAAAAAGAAATGAATAACCAAATTTATTGATTAAATAAACAATGAATAATGTTAAAAAAGCAAACATTAAAACAAAACTAAACAAACATACCTGTTGTCCACTTCCTTTTTCCAACCTATCCATCATTTCCTCAAATTTGATGGGGGTTATCTCCATTTTCTTACTTTGCTCATTTAGCCAGGAGTCATCATCACTGTCCATATCATAGTCTGGAATCTCTTGATCCATATTAAATGCTGTAAGTAAATAAAGTAAAATTCATTAGCTAAGCTAGCAATGACTTAAAATAAACATGAGCAGTATATATTTAAAAAAGTAATACTATGAAATAGTAATAACATAATAAAATACCTTGTATATGGATATACTGCTTTGTTGCTTTGTATGTATCTGGATAGAGAAGGTGAAATCTTTCTGAAATGTCCTGCACTTCAGGAATGGGAATAACCAATGCCTCGGATGATCCATATACTTGTTGAGCTGACAATGCTCTCTGTAGATGATGCTCCTATTTACAAAAGAAAGAAATGTTAAGTACACCTCAATAAGATAACTTTCTTCTATCAGATATGCCAGTGCTAACTATCTGTTGGTATATATATATATATATATATATATATATATATATATATATATATATATACTTATGGATACACACACTATGTGTAAGTTCCCTAATTGAGGACATTACTTTTGTTTTACTTTTAGTAAACATTTAATTCTGAATCGGATACAATGTAAATGTATTGGCCATTTGACCATAATTGCTAATAATAACTTTTTTTTCTGTGGTGTTACCCAAATCGCCTTTTATTGAAAGTCTGTAATGTAATGTATGTTTGCTTAAGGGAAATGATTAGAAAATGAATTTCCTTCCAGGTACCAAGTTTCTTTATGTGTGTTTAGCAGATATAAGACATAAAGAATATTTTCTCAATATTTTAATGGCCTGTGTTAAGTTGTTATTGTACTCGATCCCTCATTTGGAAAATAAACATTAAACATTTAATTTTCAGAACGGAAATAGAAGAAACTACTAGGCTATATTTGAGGTCTTCACTCTGGTTCAATGTGTAAATTAATGAGTTGATTTTAATATGAAAGAGAAATTTGAAAATTATTAATGAAAAATTCAACGCTATTTAAAAGAAATATATTGAACTACATTTTCTGAGAGATGTCTTCTAGTATTTGTAAATCTTCATTATATGAGTTTGAACAGTTTACTGAGTTTAAGGAGGGCTGCTTAATAGCTGGGAACAGCAGCCCAACTAGGATAAACAAATCAAAATAACGGCTACTTCGTAGTTTATTCTTGGTTAAACAAAGGCCATATAACTAATATAAGCAAATCCAGAAAGAAAAGATGGCTGAAATCTGAATCAAAGGATAATAATAAAACTTTGACATGTAATACTTGCATTGTAGGAAATCTCTTCCAACAATACAATTAAGAATAAAGAAGAAGGGAAGGTTAAAAAGTGAAGTCAAATTGCACTTATCCGGTAACTGTCAAGATTAGTATCAATGTATCAACAAATACAAGATAGAAACAAATAATTTTCCCTATGTAAGACACATATGCTGTCAGAATATGTATACTTGTAAGGGCATATGATTTAATTTATAATTAAGAGATTCTGTAAATGTGATAAAAATATGAAGAAAATCCTTGACACCTTGAACAAATACATTATACAAACTCTACCATTGTAGTTTTAATACTAATGAAATATACTTTTAATAGTTCCCTAAATTTTCTCTACACATGTTTAAGAATTTAATTACCACTGCTTCTTTAAAGGTTTGTTGAATGTTCTAAGCTGTCAAAAATCGAACAGAGAATAATTATAAATTGATACCAATATACCAGACTACTTCCTCTTCATGTTATTCTTTGTAAACTTAATTATTTTTCTTTTTGTGTGTAATTTGAATGTTATTGTGGATGATTTTCAGTGTTTTAAATTCAATGTATGTGTATAAACAGGTATGTAATTAAATATGTATGTATATTTCCATTCTTGATTGCTTATGTACCTAGTTCTGACATGTTTTTGATACAAGTGTATTTTCTGCTATTTATATTTGGTACCCTATTTACATATCCTACAAGTGCATATAAGAAATCATACCAAAAAAAGTACTAACTAAACCATAGACAGGATGCAATTTAGGCCAACATTTTCACTAGTGGTTATCAATCTTAAAACTTAACAGCAAAAACAGAAAAAAAATATCTCAATACAAAGCTCTATTTTTTAAGAACAATAAAAAGACTCATGAGTAATTTTTTACTGAAATTTAAAGTAGTAGCTTAACTGTTGACTAATTTTAACTAATTACCAAAAAGTTGTTACCAGTACTAGTTGTAGCTAACAAAGCACATATACAATGGTACAGTGTATTTTACTACCTCAGGAACAGCAGCTGATCAGATTGCCAGCATGAACTCCCTGTTGAAATTACATTTTTCCCCCCACAAGTGTAATAAATAAGTTTTACTGAAGTTTTTGATTCATTTTGATTAAATCACAGATTTAATCAGACTTTTTCTCCCCTCTTGAGATTAACAAGGTTTAGTCAAAATAATGTCAATGTAACTAGGTAAATTTAAAAACAAACTAACCAAATAGCATGTGGTGGAAAACAATTATTTTTCAAATATAAAAATCAGTACATTATAAAAATTATTTTTGTAAATCTAAAATATTTACTTGAAAAGCCACTGTCCATTTTGTTTTATTTCAGTGGTTAAAGTAATAAACTGTAAGAATACCAATCAATAAGCATTTGTCATCATCACAATCCCTTAAACTTAAGGGTTGATAATGAAGATAGATGCTTATTGGGGTTGTTGAGGCATCACAGTTGACTTTATAATCCTCCACCATCAATCTCTGATTAGTTCCCAGACTGGTAGCCCCACCCAATCCTTTATGTCTTTGCCTACGAATTCTTCTCCCTCTTGGCACAGTGCCTAACAATAATGTTTTAGGAAGACCTTTGATTTGTGTGCCCAAACCAACTCAATTTTCTTGTTCAAAATGTGCTCAGTATACTCAGTGACCAATCACATTAGTGATCCTTTCTCTTTTACATCAGTTATGTGATCTCTGTATTAAATCCCTAGGAGTCTGCAGAGACATCTAATTTCTAAGGCCTGGATCTATATCTTAGCCTAATTAATTATTGCTGTTTTGAGGGTTTGCTACTAGCTAGACCAACTTATAATTTTAATAATTATTTAGGGCAAAGTAGGGGATTAGGGCACCTATTGGTATTAGCTTCCAGGAAATACTCCCACAAAACTACTAATCCACTTGTGAGGTAACAACCCCACTGCTGTTCTTTGATCACCAACAGCCTAAAGAGATGTATTCTTTTGACCCTCTTGGGCCAGCAGGGAGGAGCAGGAAGAGTTTATCCCACTACTCTCTGCTAAATGTTTTTTACCTCTTCAAATATTATTGTAGGAACTTGTTTGACAAATATACAAAATTTTGGCAATAACTTTTGTACATAATTCTATTAATTGTGTTCACTAGCTAGAACTTGTAGAAAAGTTATATATTTATGGTGTTGCTATAGCCACAAGTGCATGTACTGTTCATCAGAGATCTAGCTGCAAAGCCTGTCAAGCAGCAAGCAATTTATAAAAAAAATTGTTTGGTAGAATTTCAATCTTTGTTTCAGGTCAGCATACAAACTTACATAATATGTAGCTTTTTAAAAGTGCACATAACTCAAGAAGGGAAAGCACACCCCTTTCAACAGCTATTTTTCAAGTTTATACTAGGAGTCTAGGTAAAAAATAACTATTTCATTAAAACGATAAGACTGCAATGTGAATAGCATGGATTATTTAATGGTGTGGACTAAGTCCAATGAGGCCTCAGATATAGATGGTATTATAAAGAGGGTGTGAATACACACAACAATATAAGGGTTAAAAATCTGTTTTAATTGTGAAATTTGTCCTATAGACAAGTTTACAAAATGGTTCTTTGTGCTTTAAATCATGATTTTTTTGGGGTACGGCTGTAAACGAACTTTCAATGCCCTTTTTACAAGTTATATTTTGAGTAGGCCTAAAGCTGAGTGAGAATAATATTGCAAACCTTCCAATGCTAGAAAGTACATGGATTGGTAATACAGTGACTTAGCTTTGGCTGTAAACCTAATCTGTTAGGCCATATTAATTACTTTACCATTAGGCTAATGGTAAAGTAATTAATATAGCCTAACAGATCTAATTACTAGGCATTTCAAACCTTGTACAATTCACCAAAAACAAAACTAAAAAAAAAATATTTAAATCTAGATTGATATTTTTTAATTACTATAATTATCATATGGTCTAGTCTAGATCTTGTCTGCTAGGATAGGCTATGAATTGTTTGATCCTAATAACTACATTAAGCATTAGACTCATTAGAGATTAGGCCTATAGGCCTAATAAAATTTAAAAGAAATTACACAGGCCTACTGAGTATGTTAATAACACCAGGGCCAAATGGATACATTAGTTTAGGTAGATTAACACCCAATAACAAATTATACACCTGGATCTACACTAAATTGCAGTGCTAGATCTAGTTGATAATTGTTATATTTTTCTATGAATTTCAAGGCTAGGCAAAAATAGGTCAACCAGTTCAATTGTGACGTCACAGGGGAATCCCCTAATAAGTTTATTTTTAGAAGACAAAATACTTTGCAAACTTGGTGGTTGCACAAATTAAACAGAGACGGCAATAGCATGTATCATACATTTCATGAGAGAGGGAGAGAGCAAAGAAGACAGCGTGATATATTAAGTCTTATTTGACAGTGAACTGAAAACTAACAAATCCAATATGGCGGCCATTTTCATGGCGCACATTGTCCGGTGGACGTTGCTCACCGTTTCTTCTTCTTTTTCCATTCCTGTCGGCATTTGCGGAACAGATCGGTTGATCTGTGCAAAATCCTTCATGTCTGGAATCTCATAAGCTTTGTAGACGGGCATAGGCTTCGAGGCGTCCAGCGCCCGAGCCCTAAACGAAACCTTGCTCATCGTCCTCGGCTCGGATATGCTAATGAGATAGTCAAAATTTTATCCCGCCAAAGCGGTCGTAATAGTCCCCAAAAAGGGTAAAATAACACAACGAATTATATTAGAACATCAGTTCGACATTTTGGTATCCTTGATAAATCACAAAAAACTTAAATGAGTTTATCCAACGTCTTCAAATATTTCACATTCTAAACAATTTTTCTGATCCATCATGGCGGCCTAGCCAACCCATCAGGAATATCCCAGAGTGCAATCCTAGGTTTGTGCGCGCGCACTGCCCCTAGTAGTGTGTAGTAAATTCAAGGGTGCGTAATCGCTGGGTATCCATTCTCATGTTGGGGTAAGATTTCATTATTTTTATTGGATATCAAGGTTGTAGTTTCTAATTTCTTTCATTGTTGCAAAATTTTGAATAGGTAGCGACATGTGTAGTGTTTTGTATGTATGAACATTTGTAATTATATTTACGGGACTATTGTAAACCCTTTAGTTTCTGAACCGACTACACAAGCAGACCCGTTGCCGTATGTGTGTAGTTAACTGTGGCCTTAACATTGATTGATGTGGGCGGGGCGACCCCTGTTTTCCTCTGTGTTAAAATGTTTTCCATTTGGTGTTTAGTTTATGTAGTCTAGATCTAGAATAAATCTATAGATCCAGATCTACTTTAAGAATTGTCGTCAATACTGTAATATTGGTTTGCCTACGTCTGTATTAAAATATAGCCTACTGATCAACAAGGTTGGTTAAAATTAAAAACTAGGCCTAACTAAAGTAATTAGTAATTACTCTCATTAAGTTAATATTACTAAATAATATTAGTATTAGTAATGTTATTATTAGATTCTAGGCCCTATATAAAATATATTATTATTATGTAGTATAAGTTAAGTATATGTAGCCTAAGCCTTATAATTATTATATTGCTTAGGCTTATTATAATATAATATATTCATATTATATTTGGCTTGGGGACTATTACTATAACTAGACTATAAAGTATTAGGAATATTAGGCCCTACTAATAGTAGTACTATTTATTTAGGGGCTTATTAAATTTATTATTAGGCCTAATAATAATAATAATGAATAGGCCTAGTCAGTACTAGTTACTAGAATCTAGTTAGCCTAAAGGCTAATTTTATTAGTCAAATTAATTAATTAGACCTACCGACTTAGTTACTTAGCCTAATCTAATAGGCCTATATATTATTTACTAGGCTAATCAATAAAGATTATTATAGGCCTATACTATAGTCTTGCTAATTGCTATTTAGTCTAGGCCCAATAAATACATGTATATAGGGCATAGGGTCTATATAATAGGCCCCTATAGGCTATATATATATATATATATATATATATATATATAGGCCTATATATATATAATCAATATCTCATTCAGTGGTTCTTAACCTGGGGTTGATTGGACCCCAGGCATCAGTCTTATGGTTTGGCTGAGGTGAATACACATACATCTGATTCACGCTCGGAATTTTGTCAGTATAGATAATAGAACTGTTATGAAGGGTTTCTGTGACTGCGCATATGAAACAGGTGGATTTCACTACTTCAAAAAAAGTTACAATAACCTCTGATGTATTTATAATTATGTATACGATATCTGCCTACACTACCCTGTTTTGATTTTAAATGGTCTTTACGATTGTTTCACACACAGATGGCTTCACACAAAGTTGATAATGATAATCAAATTAAATTTGTCATTGTTCCTGGAAATGGTGCTGGGGATATAACACATGCTAACTGGTATGGCTGGCTGTCTCGGAAACTGAAAGAGGCAGGGACTGTTTGTGAGTTAAAAAACATGCCTGATCCGATAACTGCCAAAGAATCTGAATGGATACCATTTATGAAGAAAGGTTAAATTTTGCTTTAATAAAGTTATTTTAAGGTATTAATCTTTGATAAAAGTTTTTTTTATGGTAGACTTATTCTTATTGCTCTCTTATAAAATAATTTTAAGATATTTCTTTTTATCATGCCTGTATCAATTTTTTTTTTTTTTGCAATCAGAGTCTGCTGTAGTATACCTGTGTTCTTGATGTTAGTTTTATCCTGTCAAATGAACATGTTTACAGCTTGTTTATTTGTTCTCTGTAGAATTGAAATGTGATCAAAATACAATAATTATTGGACACAGTTCAGGAGCTCAAGCTGCTATGAGATATGCTGAAACACACAAGGTAAGATACTTGTAGGACTATAAATGATCTGTACCCAAAATTTACTTGTATAACAATTACTGTCTTTTTTATCCCTAGAAAATACATGTATTTAGTAACCTTCTTAAAGATACTGTCATAATAATAATTTCCAGTAACCAATATTTAATTGCAAGTTAATTGTATTGTTTCTCTAGTCTACACATTCATGTTTTTCACTCACAAAAAAAGTTAAAAAATAGATTGTAGTTGATAATTCAGTTTATTGATTCATTAAATTAATTAGATTTTATGCATTTTCTTCCAGGTGTATGGCATAGTTTTAGTTTCTGCTTGCGTCACCGACATGGGGGACGAGAATGAAAGAGCAAGTGGATATTACAATCGTCCTTGGGAGTGGGAGAAAATAAAAGAAAACACTAAAATCCTCGCCCAGTTTGGTTCAACAGATGATCCTTTTATTCCCTGGTCGGAACAGGAACAAGTTGTCCAAGGGTTGGGGACCACCCTGTTTAAGTACAGTGACAAGGGTCATTTTATGAACTCTCGTTTCCCAGAGTTACTTAAGTATCTGTTTAGTTTCATCCATCAAGGTAAGTCATCTGAAGGCATAGAGTAAATTATGGTGGAAAAGAGTAGAACTTGTGTAATCCTGAAATGTTTTTTCATCACTCTGTATTAGTATTTTATTGTCTTATAACTTTCCTCTCCTTAAGTTATGAGTGTCTTCTTTTGAAATGCACAGGAAGATATAAACCTAAAGTGTATAATTACAGTGTAAGAAATCCTACGACTTATATAAAATTTATAACTTTCTAATGTCCATGTATTTCAAAATACTGATCTCTGTTTTACTTTATCTTTTTTTTTAAATAAAAAAAAGCCAACTTGCTACCCTATTTAATCATGAATATTTTTCACTATTAAATATTTTTTAAATAGAAAAATATACCAGGAATCTCAAATTGTTCTGTGATTTGTTGAACAGTTTTTCACATAGTATTAGCACAGTACTGCTTTAGATTACCCCAGACACAATTTTTTTTTATTTTTATTCCTCTCCCATTATAAAATTATTGATTTTACAATACTACTTTACAAAACATTAATTTGTAATATTGATTGTCTAGTTAATTTTTTTTTTTTACATCAAGATGTCTCAGGAGCTTGTAGATTATATGAACCACTGCATTTATTTTAATCTGATATTAAGCGGTTTATTTGATTAGACATGTTAGGCAGCGTTTTGGAATATATGTACATTCCCCGTTTTTAATTATTTATGATTTAACATATTTAAAAAGAAAACATTCTATTAGCTGGAGGTATATTATAATGCTCTATAATTTTAAAAAATATATATCTTTTGAATATTTAATCCTGTATTAAAGTGTTGTGGAATAAGATAAGTCATCAAATATATTATATAAGTTGTTTCCAAGCAAATTGTTATTGTTTCCTAGTTTTGTCTTTATATAAAACAGAAGTTGTTCACCACCAAGTTGTCACTAACATTTACTGTCAAGTGACTAAATGTTACTAATGTAAAAGTTGAAAGTATGTTTATTGTTTTGTTAAGAAAATTCTGTGATAATTATATTTTTTAGAATTTATATTGGATTGATGGTTAAAATTGTTTCAAAATATTTTGGATTAATATCAGAATTTTGTTACTAGCAATCTAATAGCACTGTGATGTTTTTTATCAGTTGTAAGCAGAATTCTCATCTTGTTTTGAAGAAACAATTTATTACATATAATATTGAAGGTTAGATATAAGAATATATCATTAAAATTGTATGAAGATTATCTGTTCAAATAGTGTTCTGATTTTTATAATGACCAAAACTTCATTTTTTTTAAAAAAGAAATTTTAACACATTATATTCATGATGTCAAAAAAATTGTTGTTACAAAACCATTTTATTTTTTTACATTTAAAAATTAAAATTAATTTTTTCAATTCCATATTGATTTCTTTTAAAAACTGTAATCATATGAATCTTTGTTAAGTATTAATCAAGAGTGATTATTTTCTTCTTGTTTGACAATCATAATATATATAAAGTTTTCAGAAATAAATTCTAGTAAACAAATAATTAATTTTTTTTCCCAAACACTGAGCATAATTGTGTTTTAGCTATAAAATATGATTCAATCATGAATGGATTCATAATAGTGCCTTGAATAAAGCCCTAATTGCTCTCAACAAGTCAATATTCAATATTTATTTATTAAGTCTTTCACATTTAAGAGAATATACTTTCAGATCATATTTAACTATTACTCTGCTAATGTGTGCAGTTCTTTTAAGCTTATGTAGGTTCATCCTGTCTGTTTTTGTTTTCTATCAATTCAAATATTTAAGTATATTATACAGATATTGTGTTTTTTAAATATGACTTTCATTATCTGTGACCTGCTTAAAGGACACTATACTGAAGCAGTCAAATCAGATGCAGTTCAGAAGAGTTTCAGTTTAAAGTTGATGTAGACTCTGGTATATAGTAGGTCTCCAAATTAACCCATTTGGGAAGTGTAAAAAAAAATTAATCAGATCAGGTAATATGTAGGGCCTATATTTATATTTTTGTTCTTTATGCTCTTGTATCTACAAGTATTCAGTACTTTTCTTTTTAAAACTCCTTTGTATGTTGTAAACATTAGTTATTTAGTATAATATAATTAATAATGTGAAATTTCTTCATGCATTACATAGGCTAGACAGTATGAAATCCTTTTTTAATAGATTGAATTTGTACATTTTTAGCACAGTTGGTAGTTGTTTTTTTTTTTTATAAATATGACATATTTTAAAAACTATTTATATTTATAAATTTCTACTCACTTAACTTGTCAGGTAATCACTGCCTCAGTACATTAAATGATTAATGTATTGATTTTTAACTGCTGTTACAGTATCTTGCCAGTGCACTGATATTTGTTTTACATAGCTGAGAGTAATTTTTCAAAATTTATTACAAGGGTAAATGTTTTATGAGATTTTATGTTTCCCTAATGAAATATCTTTTTTGGAATTTCAAATGTGAAACTTTGAAATATTTTATCACTGTGACTGTCAAGACATTTACTATATTTCGTATTATCAAACTCTACATAATATTGACATTTTGACCAAAATAAAAATAACATTATTAAGATTTCTACAGGTTTTTTCAATAATTTGTGTAGGGATTTTTGTTATATAAATAAATTTTTAAAATCCCTATGAATTTTCAATTGAATTATTTTACACTGCCTGCCATTATGATGTATGGAATAATAGTACAGTTGTACTTCAAGATAATAGATAATTCAGATTATTCGATTAAATAATTATCGTGTTACGGCACTCGTACAACTGTATTGAGCATAGGAGTATTTTTAATACAACAATTAGATTATGGAAACTGACAAAAAAGGGGAGTAATTTAGCAGTGCCAGAACTACCCCATACTATAGCATTTAAAGATGTATGTGTTATAGAAGGGTGGTAGGTAAGCTACTGTAAACATTAAACCTAACCCACGTTCTACCATATCCCTAACCCTAATTTCTGACAGAAAACCTTATATTATAATACTACTAAGTTCCTAAAACATGTATAATAACTGTATATGTATGTATATATATGTATATATATATGTGTGTATATATGTGTATGTATATATATATATATATATATATATATATATATATATATATATATATATATATATATATATATATATATATATATATACAAAGAGAGAGAGAGAGAGGTGTTTTAAGTGTGCACAGTTCACGAGGACCACGGCTGTGTCGCTATTAATTTATTAATTTGCATATGATTACTGTGTTGGACGCTGTGTATGGCCCGACTCACATTCCTCTCATATAATTTGACATAGGCCTACACACATCTATCTAATGGTGTATTCACAGTCACGTGTCATAACTAGCGTGCCCAGCCTTGAACCGTGACCACTCATGCGTGAACAAAACAACCTAACCTTCAAATCCCTCTATAATAGGATTGTCCCTATCCAGTATCCAGCAAGGGTTTTTAGAGCTTTCTTGGGAATCTCTTCAGTATGTGTGTGGGGGGGGGGGGGGCGGGCGCTTCTAATAACATCCCCCCCCTCTAGTAACACACAGCCCGAGAATAAATGTCTGAAAGAAACCACGTTCTCAAATGTGAGTGCACAGCCTTACATTGTACCCCCTATCTCGAGCTTTTGTCGTTGTTTCTTTATTTAACACTCTTGTTGGCGATTTTACATGACGTAATTTAGGATAACACAACATGACGTTATCAAATAAGAGACGAAATATGTTGTCTTTCTAATGAATAATTTAGGTTACTTTATACAGAACTGAATAGAAAATCTGTTGGACCACCATACAAATATTTAAATAGACAGTTGGGCCGTAAAGACGAATGCTGGGTTCGTATCATTTACCCCGGGTCAATAATAATTTTAAATACCAAATTTACGCCTATGGTGGACTTAGTTTAAGGGGTCATCCATAACCAAGATATGATTAAAAAAAAAAAGAAACACCCCACCCCACCCGCATATCATCACGAACTACAATTTTTTGTTGTTTAACAGAAAACTTTCAAACCTTTTTTTTTTGTGTCACATGTCACACAAGTCCGAACCCTCCCTCCTCCCAGACGTGTGTCGTCGTGTGTGGACAGCCTCCTTTCTGACGTCACACGATTGTAGTCTATTCCCTCCCTCCTCCCCACCCACCCACTCCTTCCACACACACTTTTTGTTACACTCGAACACCCACATCCGCAAAAAGACGTCACATGTTCTAACTATAACACATTGGAGTTCTCAATATAATTATTGCTATAATGTAGGCCTATACATACAAATTAGCGCAACATTATTTTTATATTAGAGGTATCCACCTATAAAAATCACATAAACGTGTGTGGGGTCTACTGTAGTATCCACGTCTATACTATAAAGAAAATATTATAAACTTGTGGGGTATACACGTCTACAAAATTCTTATTAAATTGTGTGGGGTATATAGGTCTATAAAGAAATAATATAAACAGTGTTTTTCTTTCCAGACTTTTCCCCCTGGAGGGGTGGAAGGGGGGGGGGGGGCTTGACATTTTCGGGTGTGTGAACGGACGGACTAAAATTTAAAACTATATTTTCTATATAAATTCGTTCGGGGGGGGGGGGGGGGGCTGCGGTAGACTTTCTTTCGCTTTACATCGGTTGGGGGAAGGAGGTGTGGAGGGCAAAGGGCAAAATGTCATATTTGTTTCTTCGATATATACGGTCCCTTTAGACAGAGGCGTAGCGACCCTTCCCGGCGCCCGGGGACAAACTTTTCGATTTGCACCGCCCCTTCAAGATTTCGATTTGCACCCCCCTCAAAATTCCGATTTGCACCCCCTCCCCCTCAAGATTTCGATTTGCACCCCCACCTCAAGATTTCGATTTGCACCCCCCCCCCCCCTCAAACTTTCAATTTGCACCCCCTCAACCTTTCAATTTATTTTTCCAACCCATTTTGGCGCCCCCTAAGGTCGGCGCCCGGGGACATATGTACCCCCCCCCCCTCGCTACGCTACTGCCTTTGGATAATATTTAACTCCCAAAAAGATTTACAGTGTATAAATTATCCTGCAATCATGAGCTAAAACTGCATACAAAATTACACCCTTAATCTCGTGATATGTTTGTTTGGGGGGGGGGGGGATCCCTGCCCTATTTGTGCTGGTATAACACTGATACAACAACCCGCGGAACTCGATCGTAAATTCTATTTAGCCAACTTGTTTGTTCTTGTCAGGACTGCTCCCCCTTTTTGCCGAGTAATTGACGGAAGTAAAACTATGGCCCATACTTGACACACTGATAGAGCTAGATTAAATAACGTACTTTTTTTTTTTTTTTGAAAGCTAACATCGACGAACGAAATAGATTTTACGAGGAAATTAATATATAAAAATGAATAAATTTATGCAGGTAAATTTAGAATATTGAATATTTATTATCAGGTTCTCTGGGGCGTCGCGAGGGGGGTGCGGGGTAACACCATTTATAAGGGTGACACCGAGGTAAAACAATGTTAGAATTTAAAGAAAGGAAAATGGTTTTTGTCAGTTCAATTAATGATCAATTCAAGTTACATAGGCTTTTAGTACAAATTGATGATTCCGCCGTGTGTATGTGTGCATGTACGTAGGTTGGGGAGGGGGTGGGGCAGACGTAAACTTGCTAACTATGGAGAAAACAATGCTACATCTAGGATTTATTAATAACCGACTGTAGATAAACATCGTTCCTATTAAATGCGAACAGATTGAAGCTATCAACCCCCCCCCGTCTCCGGGGAGAAAGAAGGGGGGTCACACCCACTGTAAAATCTATAGTGAAAAAGTTGTGCTGAATATTTTTAGCAACGGCCGGGGTGAGGTTGTCACCATATATAATAATTAACTACTAAAGCGTTAATAGGTGCTTTTTTCTTTAGGATAAGGGGGGGGGGGGGGTGTGACACCATGAGTTGCCGCACCGGTTTACACACGACCTAGCAAAGCAACTGATGCTATCCCATATACAATGGCGTATGCAAATGGTGTTGATGGGAGGGGGGGGGTGGCCAGAGTTTCGTCCAGGCATCTCTTCGAAAAAATTCTACCGCCCCCCCCCCCCTCCACCGAACGAAATGAAATTTATATAATTTATATAGAAAATATATACTTTTAACAGTACCCGCCCCCCGAAGAAAGTCTACCGCCCCCCGCCCCCCCCCCCCCCCGAAAATTTCAAGTGCCCCCCCGGAGAAAAAAGTCTGGAAGAAACACTTGGGGTGGCTTTGATTTAGACCACCCACTGGAATCCCCAGTTGCTCTCGTGTTGCCGTCAGTTTATCATTTCAAAATAGTGTATGTCACAAGACCAATCATTATCACGTTAAAAAAATCGTTAAAGAATTTATAAATATTGATTTAGTCTCGTTTTGATATATATATATATATATATATATATATATATATATATATGGTGTGATATGTGGATATTTTAACGCCTCCATTCCATAACTACTGGACCTTGACAGAGCATTTCCTAGCATATGGAAACTTTATTAAAAACGTATGGTTTTTGTATATCAGCCTGAAGCTATGCATGCACAAGGTGACGACTCAGATATGAGTAACTGGTTGAATTGCAAACGTTTTGTGTTTGTCTGCCTTTTAAAAAATTATGTTAATAATATGTAGATTTATATAGCGTCAGAATAATATATCCTTCTCCTAGTGAAACTTTCTGTGCATTGTAGGATCACCCCCCCCCCCCCCCCAGGGTCCCGACCCTACCCTCCCGCCAAATCAAACACAATTGTGGTAAAAATGGAAATTCCCGTTGTCTAAAAACCTTTGTCAATGTTGTTGCGCTGTGCTAAGTGGGCGGAGCTTGTCGTACACATACTTTCGCATGAGTTATAGCTATAAACTTGCAATATAACACAAACAAATCTCAAAATCAACATTTATTCTCAAGACTTTATTTACACAAATGAGCGAAAAAAGTTATATTTACATAAGTGCGAGGTTATGTAAGGGAGGTAATGTTAAACTCAGTAGTTATGTGTTTTCTTTCTTTATTAAAAAAAACCCACTCGTTTTTATAAAAGACAAACCATAGTTTAATCAATTGAATTAAATGAACTGTTTTGTCATACCATTGAGATGGAAGTGATATAAAGTTTTTGTAATAAATTTATTAGCGATACTTAAATTCCCCCCCAAAAAATACGTTAATATTATCAATTTTAAAAATTTAAGATATTTTAAGCGACAAAAACCTTTGATACATTCTAAAAAGAAACGACACAACATATTGTTTGTAGCAATGTTTTGATGTACCATACAGATCTACTAACCTGTCAATTTTTCTTTGGCTTAGCTAAGTGCCCGGCAAACCCTCCCTCCCCCCCACCACCACCTGCCCACCCCCCCTCCCCCCAACTTCACCACAAAAAGCTTATTCATCAAATATTTAAAAAAAACAGCCTGGAAATTTTTTCTATGAGTGGAAAAGTTTATTTGTGCACAAGGCGTCACTAACAGAGTTTCTTCCAGGCATCTCTTCGAGGGGGGGGGGGGGGGGGGGGGGGGGGGGTTCGGGCCCATCCCCCCCCCCCCGAAAATTTTTTTATACCGCCCCCCCTCGAACGAAATGAAATTTAT